GAGGGCACTAATCCCATCCTGGGGCCCCCACCCTGCGGACCTCGTCTAAACCTAAGCACCCCCAGATGCCTCATCTGCAAATACCATCGCATCAGGGCTTAGGGCTTCAGCAGATGAGTTTTGCTGGGGACACATTTCGGTCCATAGCACCCTCCTACACTACTACAGCCCTCCCCCGATCCCCGCCCTGTCCTGGTGACCTCAGGATGGCTGTGGTCCCTCCAGGGCCGTCCAAGCAGCTGGGCCAGGGGCCAGGCGAGGTCTGCAGGCTCTGGAGGAAGAGTCCCTCCCCTCTCTGTCCTCTGTCCTCTGCAGGGGGTGTCTGTTGGCTTTAGTTGTCTCCCCCAGCCCCGGCTCGAAGGGCCCCAAAAGCCTCAAGACTTCGGGCCCCGGCGTGGATGGCAGTGGTCACCTCCTGGCCGGCGAGGCTGGCTGCACCTTAGAAGAGTCGCTGGTGACAGGGAAGACCTCCCAAGCGGCAGGCTCTTCTCTTGTCAGGACCACAGTGGAGAGAAAGAGGAAAAGGGTGACATTCTAGTTAGAAGGAGAAAATACAGGGGCGCCTGGGTGGCGCAGTCGGTTAAGCGGCCGACTTCGGCTCAGGTCACGATCTCGCGGTTTGAGTTCGAGCCCCGCGTCGGGCTCTGTGCTGACGGCTCAGAGTTTGGAGCCTGCTTCGGATTCTGCGTCTCCCTCTCTCTCTCTCAAAAGTAAACAAACACTTAAAAAATTATAAAAAAAGAAAGAGAAAATACCCCAGGGAGACCTGGAGGATAATTCCAAGGCGATACGTGAACCAGTGCCAGTTTATGACGGTCCAGAATCCCTCATGTGCAATTCTGGCCTCTCCACATATTCGAAGTTTCTCTTAATTTGCTTGCTGGCAAAAAGTGACCTGAGCTGACGTGAGGCAGCTTGTGACACCTGTGGTTTTTCCACCCGAAGTACGTGTCCGCGCTTCCTGTGCTGCGGTTTTCACGGGGCTGCTTCTGGAGCCCGGCCCTGGCCCAGGAGTTCCGCTGGAACCCAGGGATGCGTGCCAGTGCCGGCCCGTCGTCAAGTGCGTTCGGGCATCCGGCTGGGAGCTGGAAAGGAAGCACCGGATGAGCAGAAGCAGGGCGCTTTAATCCCCCCGGGAATTGTTTTTCAGATAAATAAAGAACATAAAGATGTCACGTGCAACGTCGAATGCCCTCCATCCCGCACCAGCTCTGTGAATTCCAAGGAGAGCTCCAGGTTGGCCTCCCGGCGCTTTCTGCTTTGGCGAGAGCCATGCCATCAGCCTCCTGGAAAGCCCGGTCTCAGACAGCGTTATGGGTTCAGCGTCCTTATAAAACGGGGGATCTGGACTCGGAGACAGACGTGCACGGAGGGAAGATGACGCGGAGACCGGAGACATAGCGCATAAGCCGAGGGCTGCCCCCGGGGGCTTCTGGAAGCTGGAAGAAACAGGTGGGATCCTTCCCCTAGAGGCTCAGAGGGAGCATGGCCCTGTCGACACCTTGACTTTGGACTTCTTTTCTGCAGGTGCGGGTGATCGAGTTTGGTTCCAAGCCACCCAGGTTGTGGCGCTTAGTTACGACAGCCACGGGAAGGTCACGTGAGGAAGCTCCCCGAAGCCGGTCCCGGGGCCCAGGCCGCAGCAGAAGACCTAGAAAATGTCTGGAGGCTTTCCTCTCTCCTCTCCTCTCAGCTGGCTTGGGGTGGGTGGAGAGGAAAGGCTGAGGTGGTGCTGGGGGACGAGGGGGCTCCTGCTGTGGCCCGCTTTGGTCTGGGCTTGTGTGGGCCAGCCTGGAAGCAGAGTAGCCTTCCTCTGTGAGGTGGGTGGGTGCTGGACTTGACAGGGCCTGCACGGCTCAGGGTGGATGCCCCGTCCCTCAGGGAACCGTGTCTTCTCAGGCTTAGTACACGTAATTAATCGACGTTTCTGTGGACAACTGAACTACAGCAGCCTTTGCGGGGGACAGCCCCGAAGGCAGAGTCCCAGGCAACCTCATTTGGTTTGGGGGCTCCTCCGTAGCCTTTGCTCAGAGCCAGACCCCACGGGAGCCCCACCGAGTAGAAGAAACCGGCTCTTCGCAGATGACCGGGTTCTGAGAAGCAGCCCGGGAGCCAAGCCACGGCCTCCTCACCCTCGTGACAAAGGCAAAGGTGACCCCGGAGTGATGCCGCCCAGCCCCCGCTTCCTGCTCTGGGAGCATCCGGAGGGGCCGGGGCCCTGTGCGACCTCAGTGCTCACGTCTCACTCGTTCCCTACAGGACGGGGGCCCAGACGGTGACACAAGAGCTGGAACCCCTCGGTCTGTCTGGCCCCTGGAATGCCGGCCTGCTTCTTCCATGGCCCTCCGGGCACTGCCCCGCATGACCCGGCCCTCCTTCCCCTCCTCCCACCACCAGAATCAGGCAAATGAATGAATTCTCCCTCCGGGCCCCAGGTGGGGATGTGATCTTGGCACTTTTGGAAGAGAGCAAGCTTGAGCCGGTCGAGGGACCTGGGCTTCTGGGTGGGTGTCCGGTGGGCGGGACAGAACCCCTTAGGAAGGCTGAGCTGGTCGGGGACGGACCTGAGACACCAAAAGTTGGCCAGGAGTGCCGTCCTCAGCGAGCGCAGCGGAGGCAGCCCTCCAGCGGGGCACATCACTCCTGCCCGTCTCCTCCGCAGCCCAGGGCAGGGCCCCGGATGTCCCGTCTGTGACCTTTGGGCAGGCCTGGCCCCCGGACGGCCATCTCCATCCCAGGATGCATGCTCCTGGATGTCGGGAAATGCCAGGGGAGGGAGTCAGGAGAAACACAGGCGCTAATCCGAAACCATCTTGGTGATGAGCACAGGTCCCGGAGCAGGAAAAGGACTTGGCCTTTAGGCTCCTGATTTAACGTCTACTACCAGTGAACTGCACGTGCCTGAGGTCTCACTCTCCTGGTTCTTTCTTCCAGACTCCTGCCTGTGAGGAGAGTGCTCCCTGACCCTGGGTCTTCCCCACGGCCCTTCTTTCCTCTCCCTGCCCCCCACCCCTCATTCCGTCTGGATCTAGCCTAAACCCATGCCTTTGTAGCCCTGACAGGCCACTGTCTTCCCAGAATCCTCTCTGTGAGCTCCAGACACACGGAACCAAGGGACCGGGTTCTCCCCCTTCAAAGTCAGCAGGTCCCAAGTCAACATCGTGATGCCCTCCGGCTCACTTCTCCCTCCGTCCTCTTAGGGGGGAAGCTCTGACCCATTAGCGCTTTGTGCACGATCCCTTGATGGCTTCCTTTTGCTTCAAGTCCAGCCTCTGGCTGAGCGCTCAGTCTGGCTTCCACAGACTTTTCTAGCTTCTGTTCCCACCCTTCCCTGATACACCATTGGTGGTGGTGGCTTACTTGTCAAAATGCCTGGGGGTGCTGCAGGCAGTCAGCGCTCCGATCGGAGTCCAGGGGCGCTAAGTACCCTGGTGCAGGACACACGGGAGAAGGCTGTCGCTGCCCCACGCCCACTGCCCTGCGCCAAGTCGCCCCGTGCTTCCCCAAGGCTCAGGCTCTCGTGCTCCTCTGTGCCCCCGAAGCTCCCTCTGCCCGGCACACCCTTCCCTAGCTCCTTCATCCGGCTTGTCTTCATCTGTCCCCCTACACCTTCCCTGCATCCCTTTCGTGAACGGGCTCCTAACCCACAGGCTGGGTCAGATACGCCTCTGGGGTACTCACATCGTGACTGGCGAGGCCTCCTGGGGCCTTAAGGGGCAGGAACTGTGATTCCCCTGCGGGCCCCCTGCCACCAGGTGAGCTCCTTGAGGGCAGGGTCCAGGCCCACAGAAGGCCCCTTGGAGGGGCGCCTGGGGGGCGCAGTCGGCTAAACGTCTGACTCTTGATTTGGGCTCAGGTCACGATCTCAGGGTTCATGAGTTCCAGCTCCACATAGGGCTCTGAGGTGACAGTGCAGAGCCTGCTTAGGACTCTCTCTCTCCCTCTGTCTCTCTCTCTCTCTGCCCCTCCCTGCTCTCTCCCTCTCTCTCAAAAGATAAACTTAAAAAAAATAAAAAGGCCCCAGGGAATAGAATCAATGACCCAAGTGTCAGCTTTTCAGGGACTCTCCCCGGCCCTGCATCAAGGAAGGGGAGGCTACCTGCTTCTTTCTGCGCGAGCTGTCCAAGCTGGGCCCGAACAGTCGCAGGGAGGTGGGGCTGCGGGTTCTTCAGCTGCCTATAGATTACAGGGAAGCGACGCAGAGGGTCACCAGAATCTGGGAAGACCTTCAACCGCAGGGAAATGGTGGCTGGGGAGTCGGTGGGGCTGGGATGATGAGGAGATGGGGCCCCGGAGCTGTGAACCCGGGCACCCTGGTTCTAGAGTGGCTGGTGGAGGTGCACTCCGCCCCCACGCTCCCCCCAGTGAGGTCCTAGCCGATTTTCTAAGGCTCTGGGTGTGTCTGCGAGAGTTTAAGCTGAAACACAGAGTAGGTCTTGGAAGAATATTCTGGAGAGAGAGAAGGAGGAAAATAAAGGGAATCTTTATTCCTTGCTGTGACTCAAAGACAGTCTCCACCTAACAGAGGGGCCCTTGGGTTGGGTCCCGGCCATGCCCAGGCAGGGTAGGTGGGCTGTGAGGTGAAGGGGGGGGGGGGGGGAGGGGGGGGGGGGGCGGGGGCGAGGACCTTCTGGGACTAGAAGAGAGGCGGAGGGAGGTCTCATCTTCATGACGCCCAGCCTTTTTTTTTTTTTTTAATCCGAATAGAGTTATATGAAAAACTGTCCCCAAAATGGACAAAACTGTACAAACGTCCACAAAACAGGAAGCTCCAATGATGAGATCAACACAACGTGCAGCACCAAGCCGTTAAGACTCAGGTGTGTGGATAAAATGCTCTGCAGCTATTTTTTCAAAGAGGAAAAATAATCAGCTCAAAAAACCCTGCCAATATTTTAGTGCATTGTTACTAACTTCCTTTATTAGGGTTTCATAAAAGAGCCGGAAGATTCTCCAGAAATGGGAAGCTTCTCCTGTGCGAGCCTTAGCCACCCGCCGGGGGGCAAAGAAGGGAATACGTTTTCCTGCCAGAATATTTGGACATATAAAAGCAGTTAAATGAAATGCCGCATGGGTTTCTATCCGGCTGTTTTTCATTCCAGCACATCCATGAGGGGCGGTCGACGGGGAGTCCCGGAGGTTGTGCCGGCCAGATGTGGGGTTGGAGCTGCTTTGGGCCCGGGGCTGGTTCTCCCTCGGTTTGGCCCTTCAGCTACATCCGGGAAGGCAGAGCAGGCCTCGGTTTCCCTATGCTCTCCGCCCTCCCTTGTGCTTCTGCAGCTTGTCGTGCACATAGAGCTGGACGCCTCCACCAAGGCCGTCGTGCTGGAAGAGCGCGCCAAGAACCGAGGTTCCTGGGATGCCGACATCCGGGGCTTCAGGCCCGCGCTCGCGGCGAGGGCCTTCCGGATGGCCCGGAAGTGATCGCGTCCGGGGTCAGCACGAGGGCACTCAGCGAGCTGGTGGCGGTGGAGGGCGCGCAGGTGGTCTACTCTCGCAATGCAGGCAGGTGCGCGCGGCGGGGTCGTTCCCCGGGCGGGTGGGGAGGACGCGCGGCCGCACGACCAGCCCCCCTCCCGGGTCGTCCCCCTTCCCCACCGGGAGGCCATCCTGTGCCGTGCAGCGGCCACTTGCTCACGCGGTGCAGACCAGCGCGTGGTCGTCTCGCCCCCCCTCCGCCCCCCCTCCACCCCCCCGGGGTCTCGGTTCCAACCCCCGCTCCCTCCATCCGGGCCTTTGGTGCCTTGCTAGAGAAGAGATGGGAAGGCGTGTTTCGAGAGCCACTAAAGTCTGTGGATGCTTTGTTTTTATTTCTTGCGGCCCGAGTTGTGAGTTAACTATTCTGATTCAGCCCCACACACAGGTTGATTTACCTTGTTCCTGCGAACTCTGACCCGCAGTGGATAGCCCCCCCGCCCACAAGAGAATGAATGAAGAAGTGACTCAGTGCAGACACGAAAGAGAGGGGTTCCTAGGGGAAAAGGGGTTTGGGACTAGTCGCTTTGAAAATCTGGTCCCTTCCCGGGCCTGGCCACTTGATGGTCGTGGGACGGTGAGACCAAGAGTCAGTCTCTTCCCGGCTCACTCCCAGCCACGTGCGCTTACTGAGGCAGAAGAACAAAACAGAAGTCTTCCTGGGTGGCAGCCTACCCCCCTCAGGCTTTGGGGGTGCTGCGGAGGCCCTTTTGCTTACGTTGCCCTGGGGTAAGAGGCCCGCGCCAGGAGTATGGTGGCACTTTGTGTGGTTGCAGATACGTCTGTGATTACACCTGCTACCTGTCTTTGCATCATGGGAATGGGCGCACGGCCCTCGTCCGCGTGCCTCCATTATCCTGTTGGCTCCCAGGACGTGCTGGACGAGATGAGAAAGCCCGAGCTCAAAGCCCGGTTTGCAGAAAACTCAACCTCGGTGATTCCAGCCCCGGGGAACCGATGGGGGGACTGCTCCTTTAGAGAAAATTAAATGTTTCAATCCCGTGTGCAGAGTTCAACTGTGCTTTGAGAGACTTTTTAAAAATGGCTTGTAAAACAGTTTACACAGAGGGAAAAAGCTCTAAATTAGCCCAACGAAATCACAAAGGGTTATTTTATTGTCAGAAGAAAGAAGAACACTCTGAAAGGCAGACATTTCACAAGGGATTAACTAGCTTCAGTTATGGTTTTCATGACAATAAAATGAAATCCTAGTAATTTTTTTCCCCCTCTTAAAAAGACTGTGCAGCGGGCCTGTGTGATCCTGCCCGGATTGCTAAAACCGCAGACCTGTTTGGCAGAGCTGCGGGTGACGGGGTGATCTGTGACCAGCTGGCCGTGGGGAAACACAGGTGTAGCTGCCGCTGGGTACCCCGTTCCTGGCCGCCCAGCTCATGCCTCCAGGTGCTGGGTGCAGCTTCTGAGCCACTGGGTCTCTAGTGTTTGGTTTTTCTTTTTCTAATGTCTTTAAAAAAAAATTGTGTTTTCATGCACAGGATAAAATTTACCCTTTAGCCATGAAATTTTTTTTTCTTTTAATGTTTATTTATTTTTGAGAGAGAGAGAGAGAGAGAGCACGAACAGAGGAGGGGCAGAGAGAGGGAGACACAGAATCTGAAGCAGGCTCTAGGCTCTGAACTGTCGGCACAGAGCCCCATGTGGGGCGCGAACTCATGGACTGCAAGATCATGACCTGAGCTGAAGTCGGATGCTTAACCTACTGAGCCACCCAGGTACCCCTTAAATTTTTTTTTAAATGTTTATTTATTTTTGACAGAGAGAGAGAGCATGAGCAGGGGAGGGGCAGAGAGAGTGGGACACACAGAATCAGAAACAGGCTCCAGGCTCCGAGCTGTCAGCACAGAGCCCAACGCAGGGCTCAGACTCACAGACCACGAGATCATGACCTGAGCCGAACCAACTGAGCCACTCAGGCGCCCCTAAATTTTTTATTTTTAACGTTTATTCACTTTTTGAGAGCCAGAGACAGAGTGTGAGCAGGGCGGGGGCAGAGAGATAGGGAGGCACAGAATCCGAAGGAGGCTCCAAGCTCTGAGCTGTCAGCACAGAGCCTGACGCAGGGCTTGAACTCACGGTGAGATCAAGACCTGAGCCAAAGTCGGATGCTTAACTGACTGAGCCACCCAGGCGCCCCTTTAGTGTCTGGTCTTAAAGGAGAATAGCTAGGTTTGGCTTCTCTGCCACAATGGGTGTTATACTTACTTTTTAGAAGCAGAATCTCCCCTTCTCAGCTATCATGTTGCCTTTGGGCAAACACTTGGCACTGGGTCTTGTGCCAAGCTGCTCAAAGCAAGGTTTTATCTTGTGTTTGCTAGGGGCAGATATCCAACGAGATACATTGTTTTTTTGGAGGAAGGGGTTGAAGGTGGCTAAGGTCTGGTAAATTTCTTGTTCCTTGTTGTGCTCCCTATCACTTTCATTTAATTACCTTTAAAAAAAAAGCATTATTCACTTAGTATCCAGATTCCTTCACCATAAGAAAAAGCATTTGCAGCTTAATAACAGAGGAACTGGGCGGGCCTTGCTTGTTTGATCATTAGCTCTCTAGCACACTTGTGCCTTTGGAACAGACTTTACAGGACCCCTTTTGCAAATGAAACTCGGTTGTTTGACATAAACCAGTTCAGAGTCACATTGTAGCAGATCAAAGGCAGCTAAGCAGGATGGTACAGCCAGCATGCACAAGCGTGGGTCTGGCCGCACTGGTTGCTAAAGTGGAGAGCCTTCTGTATTTGTAGGCAAACACCTGCTACCCAGAGCCCCGTGCCCACCCTCCACCCCCTGTAGCTTCTGTCTCAGGCCCGGGCAAGCAGGGGGCCTCGGGACCCAGTCTCAGGGTCATTTCAGACTGCTTGGCACCAGGCAATGCATGTTTTATAAACTTTTAGATGTCAGCCAGTTGGGAGGCCCAGAGCTCCCTCTTGATGACCGTCCCCATCATCTCCCCCTGTGTGACCTCTGATGTTCCTCAGGGAGAATCCCAGAGGGCCCACTCACATCCCCCTGTCGGTACATCCTGGGGCCTGTTTACTTGGGGCTGTTACCTGGCGGTTCTGAGTCCGAGAGCTGACCCAGCTTAAACAGGTTGAACCCTGGGTTGGTCACTTAATAGCTGGGGGCGGGGGGGGGGGGGGCGGGTCTCCGGCACGTCTGTATGTTTGCTCATCCGAAGAAGAGTAAAGTCCTTCCTTTGCAGAGTCATGAATATCTGGTGAGAGAACGGATGTGTGAGCACCCCCCGCCCCCCCTTGCAGAATCTGGGCTTGTGGCTGGACCCGCCTGGGAAGTACAGAAATAGCCCCGCGGGATCTGTGCTCTTTAAGAAGTGGCGCGGTGGGGAGAGGCTCTAACGTTTGTAAAGACGCAGCACCTTCACCCTGAGAAGACACTGCTGCTGCTTCCGGCTGAGGACGGGCGCGGAAGGCGCCGCCACAAGCTGGGAGCGCGACCCTGATCGGCCGGGGATCGTGGGAGCGCCGCGCCTGGGTCCTGTGTCCCCACGGCAGCCCACACCCCCGCCCGTGCCCCGGAAGTGCGTCTGCCTGTACTCATCGGGCTACTGACGGTCCCGAGTGCCAGGGGTGAGCAGAAACCCTGGGGCCCTCTCTTTGAGAAAGGCCTTTTGTTTTTAGGTCCAAGTATTTGTGCGACTCATCGGATCTGAAATAACCGTGGCCTTTGACCTCTGCTGCCCGCACCTTGCTACCCTGCCCTTTACACGGTGTCTGACCTTGTTCCTGGAGTGTAGTTTCTTACCATCGAAGTTTCGTGAAATGCTCAGCTTGCCTGATGTGCCTATGCATTTCTGGTCTGATTCCAGAACACTTACAGCTTGTTGCCTTTGAACATATATTCACATTTCTTCCTATAGCCATCCTCCCCCCCCTTCCCACACTGGGGTGGGGGGGAGGAAGCCCAGATTGTAGAGGCCCCGGGACAGGCCAAGGTCATCAGCTAGAAAGTAACATTTTGAACACCGCCAGGGGGCCACACCCCCGTGTGGGCCTGCTTGGGTCTCACATGCCTCCTGACAAGGTATGCTGGCCACGAGGTACCAACAAGGACAGGGAAATGCGAAGTTGGAGTCCTTCGTCCCAGAGTCACCCGAGGGCAAACCTGGCTCGGCCTAACTTTTGTCAGTGGAAGGTACAGGAAAAGTCTACGGATCAGTCAAAAACGAAGTACAGATTTCTCTATCTTATGTATTCAAATTTTCTGCTAGCTGCTTTAATGGAGGGAGGGAGAAGAGCTTCCGTCTTCAGCAATTTGCATGCTGCAAAGACTCAGCTGTCAGAAATAAAGCAAAGCCTTCACGCAGAACACCTCCAAGCGACATGTGTGAACACACACATGCCACACGTAGCTCAGCTCCCCTGCCTCAGAAGCGTGGGGACTCTTCCAGAAAGGGAGGGGAACGAAATCAGAGACCAAAAATGCATACAGAATTCTTTTTATTTAACTTAAACCATGTAGTACTTTAACTACTAGAAAAAAGCAGAGTAAGAGAAACTAAAGTTGCCTTAGCTTCAGCCATTCAAAATAGACAAAGTTTCTTTTTTTTTTTTCATAATGTAAAGAATCCAGAGTATATCGCAGTAACAGGAATAAATTCTTACAACAGAATATACAAAAACATTTTGAAATTTTTTTCATCTACTGATTTTTTTTAATATAAACAGAGGGTTTTTTTTTTTAGGAATAATTTATACACAGAAAGTCATTTTATGTAACAAATTGGCCATGTTATTACCTTTTTTTATACTTTTTTAAAAAACTTTTTTTTAAACAAGGAAACTCAGAAAATGCATTATTTGCGATGCATCCATTCCATTGCGCCTTCTGGTTTGATTCTTTTTTCTCTTTGCCCCAGAGGTAGACACGCTGGCAAACCTCTCACCTCAACCTCACTGGCTTAGAAAGCAGACAGGTGTTTTCGCCAAGCACCTGTTCCACCTGTGGGTGTGTGTATGCAACGCCAAACATCTGAATGAACAGTTGAAAACAAAAAATCAATTGTTTCTGGACCTTTCTCCCATGTAGTGCAAAACATCCAGATGTTTCTAACGATGGAGATTTTGTGGAGTAGTGTAGACATGGCCAATAATCCATTGGGAGCGAGAGGAAATGGAGTCCGACTTAAACACATTTTTGTGTGTGTGTGTGTGTACTTTTTACGCAAAAGGACTTGTTTTGGACTGGAAAAATGTATCTTCGGTGTTCTGCCTTAAAGAAAAGAAATAGGGTCTCTTCCTTGTTAGAACAAAGCGCTAATCACGATATGAGGCATGTAAGCAAACGGCCTGTGCGCACAGAGTTATCATCATTAGCGTGATAAGTCTGCATGCTGTGATCACCGCGCCATCAGGTCCTTCCCTCTCCAGGCACTGCATGCCCACGGTGACGGCCCGACCAACCAAACCAGACGCTCAGGAGTGCCAGGGCCACCGCTGGGCTGCAACGCCTCTGCCGGGTGCTTGGCCAATGAGGCTCCTTCAGTCTTACACTCCAAAGGGAAATGACCAGTGAAAGATGATCCCCTTCCCAACCAGAGGGTTCTGGAAGACCAAGATACTGAAGATACAGAACTACTTCTTAAATCATCATCATTCCTTTGTTATAAACTAGGGCACAAAGCATGGGGGAAAAGAGGGTGAACCAACGGCCTGGGTCAGGGGGAAAAAAAAAAACAAAAAACTTTTTTTTTTTTTTTTGGCATATTGTAAAGCTAGCTAGTAAACAGGTGTCCTAAAAAAATGGATCACAAACACACATTTGCACACACAGAGAAAAAAAGTGTCTTTAAATTATTTTCGGCAATTATAAACTACAAACATTTTATAAAATTATTCTATGTTCTTACAAAAATGCAATGAAACATTTAATTAGTTCTTGTAAACCAGATCTTCGTCAACTGACTACCCGTAATCTACTGGACTTAAGAGCCCTATTGAAAACACTAATGAGTGACTAATTAAAACAATGTTTACCAGAAAGATGTGGACACACACAAACGTGGACGTACAGATGAGTGATCATTATGTTCTTGCATAACAAAGTAAAACAAAACCCTAAAGTCATGCCCCAGAACTGACAACCGACCGTTGTGATGCAGTTCGCATTCTTGAACGATCTCACTTAACTGCAACGACCGTTTCCAAAGTAGGATGTCAGGTTTATTTGTTGAAACCAAATGCCCTTGGATAACTGTTGCGCCTTGATGTGGTCTGATACCGTCAGAAACCATCAAGTTCAAAACGTGGCCCACACTTCTTGCTAGCCCTGTACCCTTCTGCTCGCCACTCTGCTCCATGTCACGTCATGACCCTGGTACAGTGCTTTCCCGCTGCCTGATCATCCCACCCTCAAGGGGTGTTCATCTGCTTTTTCTCTAAATGACCAACTAGCCATCTAAGCTGGACGCCCAAAATGAAACCCTCTGGCCTGTCCAAGGTCTGTATCTTCAGCATCTCTGGCAACAGAGGTTCAATCTACACAACATCCTCTCTTGAAGTTCTCATTTGTGCCACCGACTAGTCAGAGGGGAGGAAGAAAGTTTGACTTTCATCACTGGTGCTTAGAGAGTGGATCTGGTCCGTATCGCCCAATGCTGCTTAGCCCAGGAAATTAAAAAAACAAAACAAAAACAACAACAATGACAAAAACAGCCGACAAACACAGAAGTAACAGTAACAAAAGAACCCCAAACCTTAAATGCGTTTCTGGGACTGCTGGAATGGGCCAAGGCATACTGTGGAGCATTACTGTCAACCGGAGGGTGCCTATGTTTTGGAAAGGAGTTGCCTTTGACACTGGCCACCCCGGGGAGGACCCGGCAGTGACAGCTGAGGACCTTGGGCCAAGCATCCTAGCCTTCTCACCGATCTGAACTATAGTGTGACCTTGCCACAGCAGCAGCCTGCATCATGCACAGCCACCCACCAACGGAGGTGAGCCGCTGACAAAGAGGCTTTGGTGGGACAAACTGGCCTAGAATTTGGCATCATACTCGGCTCGGAAATCTGTTATCCCGACCAAAACACACCACACCTCACGCCAAGCATTTTGCCGTCGGCTAGTTCCACAGTCACCACTTTTTTTTTTTTTTTTTTTTTTTTTTTAATTTTACCAAGCCACTTTTCCTACCATTGAAATGTCGTCCCAAGTCCTAAGAGACAGGTTGGAAGGAGAGGCCGCTGCCGGCCATGAACACGGTCTTCCATCTTCCAAGGAGGACGCTCATTCCAACTGTGTGTCAAACGTCACCACATCCCACAAAGGAGAGCTGGAGTGGTCTGGGCGTCACACGGCTGACGTTCGACAGTGTCTCCAGAACACGCCAGCTCCTGCTGCCTCGGGGAAGGGCTGTGTGTGCTATCGTTTTAATGCTCACATCAATTCCATGATGTGCCTCAGTGGTTCACGTCACTTCAAGCAGCGTGAGCTGCTGTCAGGAGGAGGTTGCGTGGAAAAATGCCACAACGCAGCTTGATTAAATTATGTGGAGCATACGAAAGAGAAAAATCAAGAAGAGGTGGGAAAATCAGCATAAAATGAGGCTAGAACTGTGGACAGATGATGCCTTGGTAAAGTCAAGGTGGGTGGTTTGGTCCAGTAAAATGACTGCACCGTCACGCAAGCAAAATTTTCTTTTATTTAAGTGTTTCTGAAGCTTTCGTTAGGATGGGCACTATGCTATTACTGTTTTCTTTCTACTTAAAGAGAAACCACCTACGTAAAACAAAGACAGAAGGACACCAACAACTCGAGGACAGTTGAAACAAAACCCTTAGAACCAGCTGAATGATCTGTAGAAATCCAGTTGTGGAAACCGGTAGGTTTGTGCAAAAGAGGAGAGGCTACTATTCCCAGGGGTCACCTACAGTGCGGAAGAAGAAAACCCTGATCCGACAGTATTTCTCAGTGACCTTAAGATGCCAGGGGGCTGGGGAAAGAGAGTAGTGTGCTCGCAGGACGGAACTGCGGTGCGGGATCTGAAAGGAGCCACCGCCCTTCGGGAAAACCGCCACCGCGTCTCCCAGAGAGGATCACCGGTGCCTGCGAGAGCAGCATCTGGAAGCGGGCAGCGCGCCGTCCGCCCGGGAGCAGCAGGTGATGGGATGGAGGTGAGGCCCCGGGCAGGAGGCAGTGCCACCCGGGGAGAAGGCCGGGCGCCGACCGCCAGCCCCTTCCAGCCCGCAGGTTTGGTCTCTGTTTTCCCCGGGGGGAGGAGGAGAGGAGGGTGAGGTGGAGGAACAGTCGGGGGGGGGGGGGGGGGGGGGGGGGGGGGCGGGGAGCTTTTCTCCCGCGTGCATCCTCGAGTGCAGGAAGGCCTGCTTTCTCGGGCAGGAGGCCTGGCGGGCCAGGGGCTCAAAGCGCTGATGTGGCCGCACCACCGAACTGAACCGGCGCAGGCCTGGGGCTCGGCGGCCAGAGCAGCGGCCCGAGACCCGGACACCGCACGCGTACAGGTGCGGTTACGCCCAGAGACTGACTGCCCCCCCCCGCGGTGCTCCCTGTCCTCAAAACCTGCAAAACGAGCGCTCTTCCAGATGACAGAATCTGTGTGTCATTCACTCTGCGCAAAGTCCGTTTCAGTGACGGCCTGGGACAGCCGGGCGGCCTCCCCCCGCCCGCCAGGAAGGGAATCCTAAGGAGGAGCCTCTTAGGAGACCAAGCGAGGAGGAGGAGGAGAAAGAAACGAGACATCTGGGAGAAAGGCAAGCTGTCTGAAATGAGCGCAGAGGCGGGTTAGTGTTGCTTCGACCCCCGAATACAGCCTCCTGGCCTCTCCCTGCCTCATGTGCTCGGCCTGTGGTGTGGATGAGGTTACCGATATCAACGGCATATTGTCAGGTGCTGAGAGATGGGATATGTATTCTTCTGTATATATACACATATAAAAAAGAAGAGTGAGGTAGATAAATGTTTGAAAACCAAAACCAAAACACGAAAACAAAACCAAAAAACCAAAAGAAACCCGAAAACTGTCCTGTCTTACACACACACGCACACGCACACAAAACCCTTTCCTCAGTATTTAAATTCATCACTGGGGGCTTCTCTACAGTGATTGAAACTGGTATCACAAAATAAATTAAAACTCCTACATAGAATACCTTCTTAACTTTTTTTCTTTTTCTCATTTTTTTTTTCTTAAGGGAGAAAAACCATGGGGCAGAGGCTAGAGAACATCGCAGGACTTAAGGTACTGACCAGAAAAAGCACGACACGCTTGCTTTCTCGTGTTTCATCTCGTCACGACTAGCAACCATCAGACTTTAGCTTTGTTCCTCCTCGTAATTGAAACATTTCCATCCCAGAAGCAACTCGGGTGCTGTCATCACTCTGGTGAGAAGTGCTAAAAACTAAACAAAACAAGACCCCCGGGCCCGGAGGACTGGGATTCCTGGCCGAGGAGAAGCGAGCCAGCGCCAGGGCTCTGGTCCCTCCCCTGCCACCCCCCCCCCCCCCCCCCCCCGGGGAGCGCACCGGGCTCCAGGGCCATTGGCCACCATGGTGCCCATGCGTGCCCGACCCCTCCGGCCCTGCACCCTGGAGGGGGTGGGGGTGGGGGGCTGGCTGACGCCCTGAGGGGGCCACCCCCGTGGCTCCCTCCCCGCCAGTGCCCGGGAGGCCCCCCAGGGAGTTTCTGGTTCTGGAGACAGGTAGGTGGGTCTGGAGGGTGGTGGCGGAGGCCATGGAGGGGCCCGCCGGACCCCGCTCCGCTGCACCCTTGGACTCAGCAGCTGTTTTTCATGGGATGGAAGGATTAAATATCCATAAAAAAAAAAAAAAAAGTAATCCAAATGCCTAGCGTCTGCAGTTCAAACTGCTGTTGTACCCAGTAATTAAAAAAATAGAGATATGTGTGTCACAACCAAAACGAAGGTGAGGGAAAGTGAAGGTGAGACTGTCCAACAACGCGACTAGAAACACTGAACGAGGACGTGCGACGTATTTAACCTTTTGTTTTCTGACCTGAGTTTGCGTCATGTCTTGCACTGTAACAGACTCCAGCGCGGTGAGAGAGCAGGCCGGGTGAGGGGTGGGGGGCGCTGCCTCCCTCGCCAGCCTCGTGCCCACACAGCCTAGGGGTGAGAACGTAACTAACGGGCAGGGGGAGCGGGGAGGGGAGGGTGTATTTATAAAAAGGCATCAAACAGTTCATGGCAAATTATGTTCGAGAAGTATCGATTACTGGGAAGAGAGGAAGAAAGTCACGCACTCTAGTACAAAGCATAAGAAGTTTCTTGGAGTGAGCAGAGAGGGAAGGAGGGTAGACCTGAAGGTTTTCATAGATTAAATCCACAAAGATAAAGGACAAAAAAAATAGCAGCTTTTTTTTTTTTCTGTACAGACGTATAGATGAATATCTGAACCGTAAAAAAGTTATAAAAGTGACATTAAAGACGATGTGTATGCAAATGTTTCATGGTCTAACATAGAACTGTAAGACCCATGAAGAAGTCCTAGTAACAGAGAAAATGTCAACAAAGCTTAGAATGCTTGAATCCATTTACTGCTTTGCTTCTTACTGTTGTGGTGGTGTTTGAATTTCTTTTCCTTGCAAACCTGCATAAACAGTTGGGCTGAGTCCCTGGAAACCCCTTCCCATCTGTGTCCTGGGGGCCGGGAGCGGGGGGCCAAGGGTGGGGGGGGACAGGAGACTGGCACGTGGATGACCTTGACTCAAAGCCTGTCTTCCAGGCTCACGACACGGCCTGTTTCCTCCACAATTCCGGGGGGCTAGCAGGTGGGGGTGGGGGAGAGGGTCAGGGAAGCCGGGTTCAACTTCTCCCAGTCTCCACCGAGAGAAAATCCCATCCTGTCCACTTCCCCCCAAACAATAGCCTAGTCAGAAAGCGATCAGACCTGTGTGAACGTAAGACTTGAAAAGAACGCCAGGGGCGACCAGATGGAGTGCATCATCCATGTGGCTCTTAAATGACGTGACTAGATACCATGCTCGCCCCATGCCTCTGGAAACAAGGAGATAAGTGCGGGGGTCGTGAGGGAGGAAGTTCAGGGTTTTGGCAGAATTTGGCAGCATTAAAATGGTGACAACCTTGAATGAATGATGGCCCTTTTTAAATCTCGTTATGTCCCTAAAAAGGTTAAAGATACAGTTAAAAAAATCCCGTCTCAAGGTGTTTTGTTTTGTTTTGTTTATAAAGACCTACGGTGATAGGCAGGTGTGTACAGGGGCAGTGGGGGTGGGGGCCGCAGGGAGGGACAGCCATTTCCTCAATCTGAGCAAAAGGGCGTCCCAGCTGGGGTTGCGGCAGATGTTTTTCTATCATGAAGCAGAAAGAAAGAGAAAGGTGAGAGAGAGAGAGAGAGAGAGAGAGAGAGAGAGAGAGAGAGAGAGAGAAGGGGCGGGGGGAGAGGGAGGGAGACAGATAATGAGAGGAGAGACCGGGAAAGAGTGAGGAGACTCGATTCTCAAGTGTTCTGTTGCTATTAAGTGTTGTCATTAAGGTTCTTAAAGGCCCATGTCAGTTAAGGGTTCGGGTAGGGAAATAAAAAGCTGCTTGCATATTGAAAAAAGGAACATCCCAAATGTGTTTACTGCAGAGAAGCCGTCTCCCGTGGGCAGCAATGGCAGTTCTGAAGATCCACTGAGGTACAGGAGGCTGTGAATAGATTGTTAAAACTCTCTCCCCCCACCCGCCGCCGAGCGTGCACACACGTTACTGTTTGCACGGGATCCGGGATCCGAGGATCAGCAGGTCGAAGACTGGGGCAGAGGCAAGGCCCTCTCGTTCTTGCGTCCCCCGTTCATGTGCGCGTAAGGCTGTCTCTCGTCGAAGCTGGCTCGGAGAACCAGCACGCCGGGGCCCGGGCCGTTCTCGGCCTTGTGTCCTGAGTGTCTGTCGGGCAGCGGCAGGGAGGACGAGGAGGCGGAGGGGTCCAGGGGGACGCTCTCCATGTCCTCCGGCTCCAGATCCAGCTCCTCCGGCTCGGGCGGCTTGTTCTCCTCGCTGTAGTAGAAGGAGACCTCCCGGAAGCCGGGTTCCATCTCGTCCTTGATGCTGCTGATGATCTCCAGGAAGGAAGGCCTCATCTTGGGGTTGTACTGCCAGCACATGCGCATCAGTTCAAACCTGAGGCGGAGACAGACAGACGGTGGGCCCGGCCGCGAACGGTGGCTCCGGGGCCACCTGCTGTGGCCTCCACCCACGCGTGGGCACTGAGAGCAGGGAGGCAGCTGGGCCATTTCTCTCTTGACGACCCGACTGGCCCCACGCCGCTTTCACTCCGGGGACCCAGGACCCTCCCCGGGGCCAAAACCCAACCTCTCATTTCCTGAGGACAAATCTAGGTTTACACAGAGTCTGGCATGACAGGTGTTATGGGGACAGTGCTAAGAAATAAAAATACAAACAAAAACCTACAGAGCGTCCTATCTGAAGTGTCTCTTGGAGCCACCAGTGAAACATTACTTCCAGAATTAGAGTGCAGGAAGCCTCTGGTTTCTCACTAATAAGGCTTAAGAATGGGGGCACCTGGGTGGCTCAGTTGGTCGAGCATCTGACTCTTGACTTCCACTGCTTCCCTTCTGCTACTGTTGTCACCAGAAGATTCTATTCTCTGTTTTGTTTTAAAAGTTCTGGCTAAAGAGGGGTGCCTAGGTGGCTCAGTCGGTTAAACGTGCGACTTCAGCTCAGGTCATAGTCTCATAGTTTGCGACTTCCAGCCCCGCATTGGGCTCTGTGCTGACAGTGTGGAACCTGCTTGGGATTCTCTCTCTTTCTCTCTCTCTCTCCCCCCCTGCTCTCTTTCTGCCCTTCCCTGCTTGGACTCTCTCAAATAAAAATAAACTTAAAAAAAAAAAAAAAAAAAAAGGCTTAGGAGCGATCACAGCTATCCCGACAGTGACCCTCCCTTTCGTGCCACCTATGCAATTTCTAAGCTTCTTTCTGGGGCCTGGGGCCGGGCACGGCTGGCAGTGAGGGGGGAAGGCCACAAGACAGAAGGAGCGTGCATCTAGGGTCTGAGGTCCCGGTCTAGCGCCGCCCAGGCTGCCTGCTGCCTGCCCCACCACCCGGGCTCTGGCCTCGGGTCCAGGCTGAGCCAAATGAATCAGAGTCCTATGAAGACGTGTAGCCAGATGCCGACAAGGCGGGAAGGTGAGAGGGGCCCTGCCTAGGCAAGGGGGCGGGCAAAGAACATGGCATGAAGCCTGTGCCGGGTCTCACCAGCTGGACCACGGTGGCACTTGGGCCACAAACCTCTCTGAAGCCTTCAGAGTCCAGTGGGCCACAGGAGGTGGCCGTCCCCCGCCCCCCGCCGGAGAGCAGGAGGCTGCACAAGGAAGAAAGAGGGATGGTGTTGTGGTACAGCCAGCAGCCTGGACCCAGGGGAGGCCTGGGCTTGGACAAGGGTTCAGGATGACCAGGGGAGGAAGGCGTACTTCTTATGAACCCAGAATGCAGAGAGACCCAGCTGAGTGGACCTTGGGAGCAAAAAGGAGGGTGACTGACATCCAGACTGGCCACAGAGCCAGAGGAGGCTATGGTTCCGAGAAGGGGTTGGCGGGCGGCCCTTTCTCGCGTGAGCTTGGCACAGAAGAGCCTTCCCTTCCATTACTGTTCTCGCCAGAAGATACTATTCTGTGTTTGTTTTAAAACTTCTGGCTAAAGAGGGGCATTAAGCGGTTAAGCTCATGATCTCACAGTCTGTGGGTTCAAGCCCCACATGTGGTGCTGTGCAGACAGCCCAGAGCCTGGAGCCTGCTTCCGATTCTGTCTCCCTCTCTCTCTCTGCCCCTCCTCTGCTCACGCTCTGTCTCTCAAAAATAAACATTAAAACAATTTTTAAAACTTCTGGCTAAGTCAGAGTGGCCAAAATGAACAAATCAGGAGACTATAGATGCTGGAGAGGATGTGGAGAAACAGGAACCCTCTTGCACTGTTGGTGGGAATGCAAATTGGTGCAGCCGCTCTGGAAAACAGTGTGGAGGTTCCTCAAAAAATTAAAAATAGACCTACCCTATGACCCAGCAGTAGCACTGCTAGGAATTTACCCAAAGAGACAGAAGTGCTGATGCATAGGGGCATTTGTACCCCCATGTTTATAGCAGCACTTTCAACAATAGCCAAATTATGGAAGGAGCCTAAATGTCCATCAACTGATGAATGGATAAAGAAATTGCGGCTTATATACACAATGGAGTACTACGTGGCAATGAGAAAGAATGAAATATGGCCCTTTGTAGCAACGTGGTTGGAACTGGAGAATGTTATGCTAAGTGAAATAAGCCATACTGAGAAAGACAGATACCACATGTTTTCACTCTTATGTGGATCCTGAGAAACTTAACAGAAACCCATGGGGGAGGGGAAGAAAAAAAAAAAGGTTAGAGTGGGAGAGAGCCAAAGTATAAGAGAACACTTAAAAACTGAGAACAAACTGAAGGTTGATGGGGGGTGGGAGGGAGGGGAGGGTGGGTGATGGGTATTGAGGAGGGCACCTTTTGGGATGAGCACTGGGTGTTGTATGGAAACCAATTTGACAATAAATTTCATATATTGAAAAAAAAACTTCTGGCTAAAGAAGACACTTTTCAATAAAAACGGCTAAATGGAAGGCTTGACTGACCACTTGCTCGTTTGGCCTCAGGGAAGAAGCCCAGGGAGCACGGAGACCAGTCTGCAAAGACAAAGCCCTAAGCCAACCTGGCCAAGCTACCTTGGAAGTCCTGGGGGGAAAGGTGTCCGGTCCGGCCCGGGCGGGAAGAGTACGTGACCTGCCCGGAGGGTGGGAGCCTGAGAGAGGCTTTCTGCCTGTGTCGCTGCCGGGTTTTAGAAATCAGTTTTTGCAGATTATGTTGTACTGGACCAGCCACACCCATCTGTTCACATATGTCTGTGGCTGCTTTCAAGGGACACCTGCTAGGTGAGTAGCTGGAACAGAGACTGCCTGGCCTAGAAGCCCAAGATACCGGCCGTGTGGCCCTTTATGGAAAACGTTTACCACTCGTGCTCTAGCAGAAAAAGATGTGGACAAAATACGAAGACCAGATTTCTCGCCTTGGCCACGCCGCTAACCATGTGGCAGGGCTAACCTTTGGTTAATGCACCCAGTAACACACAGGGTGTCGGGCAGGCGGGGTTTTGTGTGTGTGAACTGCTTGAATCCTCTCAAGTCCTAGAAGTAGGTGCATTGTAACATGTCCCCATTTTGTAGATGAAGCAGCAGAAACACCAAGAGGGTAAATAATTTGTCCAAGGCCCCCAAACTGGTGAGGCGGGAGCAGGATGGCATTCTGTGCGAAAGAGTATGGTTGTGCTTTGAAAACCACCTACCTCAGGAAAAGGAATTTTCTCCACCTCAACAAGGGAAACCATGGTCCCCCTAGGAGAGCCGTTCCTGTCCTCATAGTCACCGTGTGACAGCTCCTGCCTGGGGTCACGTGGCACACAAGCCTGCCTTCCCTTCCCTCCCATTGCTGCCCAAGAGAAAGGACTCCCTTCCCACCCCCCACCCCCAACAAATGGGGCCATAAATACTCGAAACCCCTCTCTGTGGCTCGGCTGTGATTTCCTCTCTGGCTGACTGACTCGTCCCTGAATAGAAGCGCAGCCAAGGCCAAGAACATGTGATGTGCCCTGGCTCAGTGCCCCTGTGGCCAGGGGGAGGGGGGGAGGTGCTGAGAGGTGCCACCAGTGACTGGAGTGACATCAGCACAAACAAACCATGTGATGCCTCTCTTAAAGCCTTCCAGGGCTGCCCATAAAAGGAAGTCTTTCTTACTCTGTAGGACTCAAGACCTTGTTTACACTATCTCCACAAGAAAACTTTCCAGTAGACTCTAGAAGGATTTATGAGCTGATAAAACTCTTCTTTAAAAAGGCACATGTTTTCCCCCTCTCTCTGCCCCTCCCCTGCTTGCTCGCTCTCTCAAAAATAAATAAACATTAAAAAAATTTTTTTAAAGGCACGTTTTAGAACTATCCGCTCTGGAGCAGTGCTTTACCCAAGGCCCCCTCGTGGGGGGTGAGGGGATGTGCAGACCCTCCACCTGGGGCAGGAACAGGACCAAAGGGGGCTGCTGCCCTGCTGTGAAGCCACTTCACAGAGGCAAGTGTGACCCGAGGAGGTGGTGTGAGGGAAGAGGGACAACTGTCCCGACCCCTCCCATCCTGCACATAGGGGGCCTCAGGATCGCCACCTTCCTCTAGGCCCTGCTGCATGCACGCAGGTGGTGATCACAAGCCCAGGTGTGAGAGGCAGCCCAGCCTCAGCCCCGTGACAACCCAACCGATGCAACAAAGACCAGATTCTAGAAAGGCCCTGCAGGGCTTGGCACACCCCTCCTCCACCTCCTCCTGGCAGCCTAGAACAGCCAGGATTGTCTTATGAGCCGCTTCTCAGCGGCGCCTGCCAGTGGGACGGCAGGCCTGCCCCTCGCCTTGTCCCATATCACTCTGGCTTTGGACTGAGACCAGACTCAGGGCCCAGGTACCACGGGACGGCCTGTAGTTGCGAGGCCAAGCACGCACCAATGGCCCTTCCTGACTGTTTGGATTCTACTCAAGCACCCTATTCCCACACAACCAGCACAGGATCACAGCAAAGGGGAAAACCATATTTGAAGACTACAAGAACCACCAGAGTCCCCTGAATGTGTTTCAGTCTCCTCTGTGAGTTCGTGACTCTCTGGGGTAAAAAGTTCCAATTCTTTCCTGCGTTGTGTATACTGAGCAGTGCCCTGGCAAGGATCTGGACCTGTGACACCGTGGAAGTTTTACCGGAAAAGCTATGGCTTCTTGGCCCAGGGCTTACAGCTCGCTGCACCTCTGCTCGAGCCCTCTCCTGCAGCATTACAACCCGGTCCTTCTGCCACCCAGCTTCTGAAAGCTGGGGCCTCGCCTCGCAGCCCTGTCTCTGGGACGTCAGCGGTCGGCACGCAGACACAGGCGCTCAAGGACACTCGCGGTGGCGGTACAGAGACGAGAGCTTAAGAGAAGGTTAAGGACAGGCTTTGTTGTCGATTTAAAGCCTAAGTGCTCTGCGCGGTTGAGGGGAGAGGGATTCTTGGCCGCTCCAGAGGAGCCCATCCCACCTGCTTGTAGTTACCACCAAGACGCCGCTGCTGAGCCGAAGCCCCCCACCCCCCACAGCCGCTGCACGCCAGCCCCCAGGTTACCCTACTGGTGCCTGCTCACACCTCTGGAGCCACACAGTGGAAGTGGTTTCTTTCCCACCCGGGCGCCCAGCAGGGCTTTTGGGCAACGCCCAGGAGCTCAGTGACGTTCCTCTCCTCTGGCAGAAACGGGAGTCCGCTCTTTTGTGCCCCGTAACAAAAGAACCCCTCTCCCAGAACACTTCTTCTTTACCTAAGCTCGTCAATAAATTCAGAAGAACAACACGGACACTCCCTGCGCCATCAGCTAACCTCCTTCCATTCTGTTGTTTTCTTCGGAGGGAGAACAATTTGCCAGGGGGGTTCTGGAGGGCAAAGCAGAAATGCCTCCGGAACTAAACACGTAATATCCAAGAGTAACCTCTCCATGTGAATTTCTTTGTCACTCTATGCTGGGAACAGGAAGTCTACCGCCTTTCCCATGGCAGGTGGGCTGCTTCCCAGGCATATTAAATTAATACCAAAACTCCAGTCACCGGGAGGTAGATCAACTTTAGGGAGTCCCACAAGTTTCTCAGAGGCCGTTTCTCCGAGTGAAAGAGACAGCTCAAAAATAAAACCTCTCCTCCCGCTACCCCAAACCACACGAACAAAACCGACACCTGCTTTCTCGGACTGTGGCTAAGCTTCCTACACCACCATCAGCCCCAGCATCAGCCTCTATTCTGGCACCAGACCCTCGGATGCAAACTCAGCAGGCATCACTCCTTATACTCCATTACTGAGATTTTTTTTTTCTCTGAAGGAAGATTTTTCTTATAATGAGCTGATAAGAATACAGTGACCACACTGTTCATGGAGAACAGTCACCTGTGAGGCAACCTGGGAGTCAGTGGGGTGTGGTACCCAGCCCGCAGTGATCCCCACCTCCTGGGGTTCATGCCTCCCGTAATCTCCTCCCACATCACAGAGGACCACCCCTGAGGTTTGGCCATGAAGGACACTGTGGCATCTGCTCCACTCTGGAGTCCTTTGCTCTTGGGCAAGCTACAGGCCCATGGCCCAAAACTAGCCTACTGTCCAATTTTTTTGGTGAGGCCTCTGAGCTAAGAATGGTTTTTGTATTTGTAAATGGTTGAAAAAAAATCAAAATAAGAATGTTTTGTGACATGAAAATTATGTGAAATCCAAATCTCAGTATCCCCAAGTAAAGTTTTACCGGAGCACAGCCACACTCATTCACGTGGTATCTGTGACTGCGTTTGCACAATGAGATCGTATGAGACCACACAGCTGAGAACACTTCCTATCTGTTTTTCTAGAGGTAAGTCTGCCAAGCCCTGCTCGGAGAAGCCAGCTGCATGCCACTTGCAAGTGGGTCCCGGCCCTAGTCAGGCCTTCTGATGGCTGGAGCCTCGTGAGAGACCCTGAGCCAGAGCCATCCCGCTAAGCCGCTCCCAGGTTCCAGGCCTTCAGAAACTCCATGAGATGGTAAATGCTCATTGTTGGGTTTGGGATAATGACCCACTGTGTAAAAAACTAATACAGGTGCACAGAGGAAGCGTTTCCATGCTAGGGAAGAAAATGTGAGGGGCGCCTGGGTGGCTCAGTTGGTTAAGTGTCCGACTCTTGGTTTTGGCTCAGGTCATGATCTCATGGGTTTGTGAGTTCAAGTCCCCGGTCGGGATCCATGCTTGCAAAGCCTGCTTGGGATTTTCCTCCTTCTCTTTCTTTGCCCCTCTCCCCTGTTTGTGTGCTCTCTCTCTCTCTCTCTCTCTCCCTCCCTCTCTCCCTGCCTCTCTCTCTCTCTCTTTATATATATATATGTGTATACATGTAAATTAAATGTATTATGTACCTATTTAATATAAATGCAAATTAATAAACATGTACTAAGTGACTTTTTGAGTCTCTTCTACCTTTGCGTTCTGAAACCTGAAGAGGCTAACTGGGAAGGTTCTTGAGGGATCTGGGAAACCCCATCCCCCCTCCCTGCCCCATATACACGGCCCTCTGAGAAATGGGGCCTCCTGTCATTGGTGGGTCTACTCTGCACCCCATGTCCAGGCCCATGCAGGCTTCCTAGTCCAGCCCCGGGCTCAAATGATCAGGGGGCTCCCCCACCCTCAACACACACACACACACACACACACACACACACACACACACACACACGTAGATGCCAGAATGCTGCTTCCCCTATGGCAGTCTTGGGTCCTCTTTCTTAATTCCATACCAGCTATCCCTGGGCTTCAGCTGAACAAACATTGAGAAGCAGCAGTTAGGAAGCATAAGGCTCAGCTAATGCACTCCAGAAGCACGGGGTGCCGCACCAAGTCCCCCAGCCCAGAGGTCCTACAGCCGCATGGTCAGAGCCATGGGAACAAGGCCTACCACATCGACGTGGATTCAGTTTTGGTAGCAACAAAGTGCTTCAGAAAAAATACACAAAACCCTGGTTTGTTGATGGACACTGGTTTCTGCTTCCCAAGCTGTGGTAGTCCGATTCTAAGATGCTCCCCCAGATTCCTGCCCCTGGGGTCAACGCCCTGTATAACCCCTCACCTGAATGTGGGTCAGACTAAGAAAGATGATGGGGTTTCACCTCGTTACGGAGTTTTCTCATCAGCTGACTCTGAGTTAACCAGCAGGGAGATGATCTGGGCTGGATGTGGCTTAATCAGCTAAAACGAATGGTAAAAGCAGCCGAGATTCTGTTGCTGGCCCTGAAGAAGTAAGCCACTCCGGTGGGAGAAGACCCATCCTCCGGAAGGCTGGCGGTTCTGCAGCCCTAGGCATGAGTCCTGCCGGAGGCCCAGAGCCTCAGATGCTGGCACCCCCAGGCTACGTCTGGATTTCGGGCTGATGAGACTGAGCCAAGGGGCCGGCACACCCGTGTCCAGAGTCCTGACCCAAGGAAACTGTGGGAGACTCCAAGGAGCAAAGGTTTCAGGACTGTCGAGGCCAGTTTCCCTGGTCCCCAGCGGACGAGGTATCAGGCTTATAGTGGCAAACCCACCACCCTGAGGCCTGGCCTGGGGCCCCTGCTCACTGGGGGCCTGGTGCGCGTGCAGGTGGCTTATCTGTGGGGGGGGGGGTCTTCCACACAGACACAGAGACGGCCTGACATCTCCTCCAGGGTTGCTCCCAATGTGAAGCCACACCTGTCCTGAAGAACACTTCTGGAAAATTCCGGAACTGGTCCTGAGGCATGAGTGGTAGCCTACCTCTACCCATTGGGATCCAGAAGACTCTCTGAGCCCTGCCTTAACGTCCACGTGGAAAACAAGTCCACACTCTCTCCCTGCTCCTGTCCTGCACCCAATGACCAAACCACAGAACACCTTCACAGCCTCGTCTGACTCGTTCCTCCTGTGAACAGTGAGGCCCTCTTGCCCTCGACAGCTCTGACCTGTGCCAACAAGGATCGTGACTAAGGACGCTGAGCAGCGAGGCCCAGGAGGGATCACGGACACCCTCCCATCATCGGACAAACCTCAGGATCAAAAAGCGGAATGTTCTTGTTGTTGTTGTTAAAAAGAAGCGGTTTGAGGTGATGAATCTGCCAGCGCCCAAAGCTGTGCACCCCCGGGCTGTGTCAGGGCCCCCTGACGGGCCAGCCGAACCACAGTCCCGGTCCCCATGGGTCACTGGGTGAAGCCCCAGAAAGCGTGTTGCTTTCACAGCTAATGACTTTGGTCAGCACTCAGCAGAGAAGAAACCGGGGGGGGGGGGGGCGCCACGGTGGAGGCGGCACGCGGTGGGAAGAGGCCTGGGGTTTGCCCTACGTGGTGCCAGAGCAGTCCTGCCAAAGGCTGCAAGAGGCTCCGGGATTTGGCTTAAGAGCAACCAGTGCCATGTTGTTGCCCCCTCCCCCACTTTTTCTTAAACTCTGCGTGGATCGCTTTGGTCAAATACTTCCCAGAGATGTCTGGCCTGAGACCCCAGGTGCAAACCAGGACTGAAAGATGAAGGGAGATGCGGTGAACTTAAGGTGGCTCCGCAAAGGCCCAGGGTCCTTCCATCAGGATAACCTCCTTCCAAACTGCACCCCGCCCCCTCATCTCCACCTGCCGGGCCGCAGAGACTGGCTCTCAGAACCACCCATCTCGGGTGACCCAGGAAGGGTCATCGAGGAGGGGAATCTGAGGGAGGGCATCAGGGGCCCAGGCGTACGTACAGCATGTCGGGGCAGTTGTCCGGCTTGTCCAGAAGGCCGCCCTCCATGACGAAGCGAAGCACTTGCTCGTTGGACAAGCCCTGGTACGGCTGCTCGGCCAGCGTGGCGATCTCCCAGAGAACGACCCCGAAGGACCTAGGGTGAGAGAGGGGACGTGAGGGCTCAGAGAGGGGCGGGCAGCCCTCACTGCCCCTGCCCTTCCAGCATTTCCCCACCCCGGGTGCTGAAAACGTGCCCTCGGTGTGGTGACTGAGCGAGCGTCCTCCAGTGCGCCCAGCAGCGGCGAAGCGTGGCCCTTGTCTTCCCGCAGTGTGGGCAAAGCTGTAGCAGGGGGTGGTTTGCAGTGCCCCCTGAATGACTCAGAAGCACCCGCTTTCTCATTTGAACGCCGGGCAGGTTGAGTTCAGGGCCTGGCCCCAGCCACGGGCCCAATAGGGCAGTGTCTCCCAAATGTGCTCTATCCTCTAATTAAAGGCAGGTCCCCAGGCCCTGCCGGGACAGTGGTTTAGTGACCTCGAATACAGCCTGGGACAATCAAGCCATTCAACAAGCTCCCCTATTTTGGAAACTTGTACCCAAGTAGCTCTCAATGCTGGCTGTGGAGTGAGTCTCCTGGCAAGTTTAGAAACATTTTTTTAATCTTTATTTATTTTTGAGAGTGAGAGAAAGAGACAAAGTGCAAGTGGGGGAGGCGCAGGGAGAGAGGGAGGCATAGAATCCGAAACAAGCTCCAGGCTCTGTGCTGACCCCCACGCAGGGCTCGAACTCACGAACCGTGAGATCATGACCTGAGCCGAAGTTAGATGTTTAACCGACTGAGCTACCCACGTGCTCCTAAATATTTTTTTAATGTTTATTTATTTTTGAGAGAGAGTGAGCGAGTGAGCACGAGCAGGGGAGGGGCAGAGAGAGAGGGAGAGACAGAATCCAAAGCAGGCTCCAGGCTCTGAGCTGTCAGCACAGAGCCCGATGTGGGGCTCGAACCCACAGACCCTGAGATCATGACCTGAGCCAGTTAACAGACTGAGCCACCCCCACACCCCTCCTGGTGAGTTTTCAAAACATACTGACGCCTGGGTCTCTGACCGCAGTTCTGACTTCCACAGGTCTGGAGGGTTAGAAAGCTCGGAAGGGGATCTCACAGGTCCAGTGGGGCCAGTGGGGAGGGAAGCCCTGTGGGAGTGAGCTGGGGAGCTGCCGGTCTGTGACATGTGACGGGGGCTCAGTCTCACAGCGAGAGAAGCCAGGAGCACAGCACTGGCTGACGGCGGGCTGGCAGGCAAGGAGGCATCCTTAAGAAGAGTTTAGCTGAGGGGCAAAGGGGCCAAGGCGAAAATTCAGCAGCGGGGGCAGTGAGCCATTCCGCTATGCATGCAGTTTTGCCTGCTGGTTTAGAAGATCTAACTGCTGGAAAACAAATTAAAATACGTGGACACGCACACAGAAAGTTCAGACAGATAATGTTTAAAAGGAGATGCTGTAACCTGCAAAATAAAGGTGGCCTCCCAACACTGCCACCTCGCACGAATTTTCCTCGGTCTGTGTGCCTTTACACTCAGTTCATTTCAGCAGAATAAAGCAGGCTCGTCGGCAGCAAGCAGCCCGAGGGGCTTCCGACAGGACTGCGGAAGGGCCAGGGGGTGCTAATGGCAGAGCTACACTGAAAATTCTGGGGCCTGGCACTTCCCACTGAGAGCTCCTGGGATCCTGGCCCGGAGCCTGAGCCAATGTTTTATTCACTGCTTCAGCTATAGCTACTTTTCTGTGAGCAAAAGGTTTCTGTACAGGGGCGCCTGGGTGGCTCAGTCGGTTAGGCATCCGACTCTTGATTCCAGCTCAGATCATGCTCTCACGGTTCTTGGGTTCGAGCCCCATGTCCGGCTCTGCACTGCAGCGTGGAGCCTGCTTGGGATTCTCTCTCTGCCCCTCCCCTGCTCGCAAGCATGCTCTTTCTCTCTCTAAATATAAATAAATAAACATTAAAAAAAAAAAAAAAGGTTTCTGTGCAACTTTGTACTAAGAACAGATATCAGACATAAATAGAATCTTAGCAGAGGACCGACTCACCCAAGGCCCTTTTTAATTTCCAGTGACCAAGAAATAGCCTTTATATTGCACAAGAGACCTAGAAAAGCCAAAGACCCAGAGGCCTAAGTGTGGCTGAAGGCACACTTCAGAGGCTTGGGCTGAAGGCAGCCAGCTTCTCCACAACTCTGGCGCTGGGATGTCATACTGGAGTGGGCCTGGTCACATCGGCAGCGTGCCTCGGAGCTCCCAACCTTCATGTCTGGAATGTGGTACAGTGCAAGGAATGACAAGCGTGGCTGTTTTTACTGATTGCAGGCCTGGCCTGAGGAATCCTCTGAGAACAACACATTTCCCCCCCGAGCCCCTTCTCCTCCACAGACTCTGCCGGTGGGGCCAGCCCCTCTCAAGCAGCCCATTCTCACTCAACGGCTCCCGCACGGACTCTTTCGGCTCCGGGTGCTCTGTTTCAAGCTCCCGGTCACTTGGCTATCCATAAACTTCCCGTGTCTCAGCCCAAGCTCTTGGTCCTGTTCTTCTGGCCTCGAGTAGCTGGTGTCCTGCCTCACTCGAGCAGTCAACCCAAGGCCGTCCTTCCCTCGGCCTCCTCAGGGTCCTCCACAGCACTGACGGTCCTCCTCGGCCTATAGCACTCTTCCTTTCTGGTGCTAGCACCTTTCACGATGCGGCCTGATGCTCTAGCTAACATGAACATCTTAAAACAGTCTCCCGTGTCGCTCTTCCTTCAGAAGCTTTATGCGTCTTTGCAGAACCTGAAGAATCAGGCCCAAGCCCCTGACACAACATCTGAGGCCTTACTTGCTCTCTCTCCACCCTAACTCCCTCAAGGAAGTCCCACCGTCTTTCGCAAGCGTGTCCTGCCGCCATAGCCTCTCTCGGCATTCCCGCGGTCTAGAACCTGCATCCCCACTGCCTTGTAAGTGACACTCCTACTTCAGGGTGCCCCACGGCCCCGTCTCTTCTGGCCAGGCTTTTGTGACTCCAACCTGTCAGGATCACTTCCTCTTCTCCACAAGGCTTCACCCTTCCAGGACAGGGAGTTGGTCTCTAGTCGCCCTGTTCTTGCACACACTGAGCATTTCCTGGGCCCCACCAGGTCCTCACGGTCACACGCATGAAGTCACACAGCAGGTAACAGGGCTGGCCTGGAGTGACTCCTGTGTGATGTCAGTATGCCTCGTCGGGGAGGGCCACTCAGTGCTGGAGTCTGGTCACCCTTCGTGGGAAGTGACCGGCCGAGTCCAATGCGTGAAGGCTGAACCATCTCTACCCCACACCAAGATGCCCCCCTGGCATCACTAGTTGCCACAGGAGCCATGAAAACATTCAGCGAGCTACTGCAGGCCTAGTAGGGAGTGCAGACACTCCAAAGCAGACCGCACCTCACAGGCTGAGCAGCCAAAGCCCAGAGATGCCCCGTGGTTTGACCAAGGCCACACGGCCAGACAGGGACACTAAGAGGCAAAGCCTGTGTACTTTTCAAAGCAGATGATTTACAACGGCATGGGCGCTGGTTTCAATGCCTTCATATAGTACCGAGTCATGAATTTTGTGGACAGGTTTCATCTGTAAACACTAGACAAATGTCTTTGCGTGACGTCTTTTCTAAAAGGCGAAAGATTTATGCAATCTGAAGAGAAACCAGAGTATGTGTGACATCTTTTCCAATCATGAGCACTGGGGGGTTTGCCCCGAAGAAGGTACAACTTGATGTGAGTCTCACACATCTGTGCCACTGCCACCTGGGGCCAGCGTTCAGGAACCACACCTCAGCACACCACGACAGGATCATGTCTGTGTCCCACCCACCAGCAAATTGAGACCTACACAGATCTCCACATTCCCCGCTGACGTGAATTAGCCAGTAAAGAAGCAAATGATTTTAAGTGGGTGCGGGCCTAGGTATTTGTGGAAGTTTGGAAACCTTCTTAGTAAGTCAAGAAATGAAGACTGTTGGAGGGTGATCCAGACGCCCAGGGAGGGGACACACTTGTGGGCTCCAACTGCCTAGTTTTTTGCTTGGTTCCCTCCATCCCTGGAGGGCACACTTGTGTCTTCTAAGCCAAAGGAATCATCCTGCAAGGACACGGTGCTACGACAGAGCTGCAGGAGTAGGAAGCACAGAGCCCGAGGGCCTGGGCATAAAATCTCAGAGGGCACTGGGAAAATGTGGAAGTGTTCAAACTAGAGAAAAGTTTGGTCACTTCCTTGTGACTCCAAGGCCCGTCTCGTCAAAAACAGACGAGAGCGTGCGACTGTGCTACAGAGGAGGGCCAACGGGTGTCACCAAGAGGCGGACTTAAGCATCATATGAGAAAGACCTGCAAAGAACAAGGGCGTCTTAAGAGTTAGGGTGGCTTGTCCTTGTGAGGGAGAGGACAAGTAGTCCTGGAGACATTTGAGCAGAAGCCTAACCACTAGCTGTCAAAGAGGCCATGGGTGGGATGTGGGGGCTGGACACAACCTTGGGAGTGCCTCCCAAACCAAAGACGCTGAGGTCTCTTTGACACAGTCAAATACAATTCTCTGTATCTCTATCTAGAGCTTCAACTATTTGGGAACACCTGTTTTGTGCTACTGAATACAATCTAAGGGACTCCCATTCCTTTGACAGGGAGGGCTTGAGATCCTAGGCAGCTGAGGAACCTTCCATATTCACCAAGTCCTGGCCTACCCTACCCATGTTACCCTCAAAGGCTGTGTTACAAAAAAAAAAAAAAAAAAAAAAAAAAGAATTTAAAGCACTGTTAATGCCTGAACACTGAACGGAATGATTATCAAATAGACACTCTTGTTTACATACACATATTACTCATGCATAATGTCGATGCCGTCGAGTGGGAGAAAACTGGCATCGAACCCCCTGCATGTCCCTCTGTTGCTGCTGCTGGTGGCATTCGTTGTTAACCAGGGTTTGGGCAAAATTAGCCTGTGAGATATTAATAACTCTAGTTTTATCTTCTCATCCTGCCTCTGCTGTCCCTGGCTCGCACGGTTTTCTCTTTTATTGTACTACAAGCTGACCTCAGAGCTTTGGGAGGTATAGAGGCTACAATAATCAGATGCATGAACAGACCTTCTCTCCCCATCATCTCTACATCTAAAAATGGTGGTGAGCACTTTGATTTGACAGCAAAGAGCTAACTATCTTGGACAGGCCGACTGCAAAAACAGATCTCGTACGTGAACTCGAGAAGCAATCACGCTTCGCCGGGTCATATTCAAATGCTATTTCCAATTTGCACCTGTCTTCGTAGTGAGATCCAAGGCCCTTGAACTATGAAAGGTTCACGAGGTTAAAAAAAAAAAAAAAAAAAAAATGATGTCGGTCACTATTTAAATAGCTCCTCTATGTGGTCGTCCAGACAGTTGAGTAAACAACTCCCATTTCCGTAACACACCAGCAATGGGACCTCCCGAGAGGACAGCCAAGAAACTAGTTGACGTTCTAGGAGGTAGATGTGCCAGGGCCTCAGCCTGCCAAGGACCTCAGTTGTATTTCAGAACCTGGCCTCCTCTCCACAGTGTTGCTGAGGTATCACAGGAAACAGCACTACTGAGAGTCCTCTGTACTCCTCAGCTAAGCTTTCTACCCCAAGATACGTTATTGTGAAGGGAGACATTGTGCTTTCTACCTCATCCCTGGGTCCACAATGGTGAAGTCCTTTGAAAAAGGACAGACAGCAGATGGGACCAATGAGAGAACACATCCAGACTCACAAGCTTTGGGTGTGAACAAAGGAATGTCTGCAATCCGGAGTTGTAATTAGGTGAGGCAGCCGCACACACACCACGTTATCTATTTATTGGGAAAGATGGAACGAGGGCAGGTGGCCAGGGGAGACGTGAAGTTTTCGGACACGTCCCGGCCCCTGGTGGTCTGTCTCTCAAGGGCTCCTCGCCATTTACTGAGTACTTAAGGACTGCAAGAAATGTGGGTCTCACAAATTCTTTAGAGCCCACAAATGCCCGCTGTCCTCAGCTAGCCCACTGACAACAGGAGCCCTTCAACCGTGCAGGACTATGGCCCACACAGCGCTTGGCCAAAGCTGGAAACGGGGTAACGATGAATAGAGACCAGTAGAAACATAAAGCCCTCGAGACAGAGCCAGTGGGATCTGTGGAAGCTGGAGGGCTCTGGGCTCGCATGACAGAAGGAGACTCTCATACCAGACGTCAGAGTGAGTGGTGAAGACCCCATCCTTGAGGGACTCGGGTGACATCCAGCGCACAGGCAGCAGCCCCTTCCCTCCTTTCCGGTAATAGTCTGTCTCGTAGATATCTCTCGTCATACCGAAATCTGTAAGGTGGAGAGAAGGCACGAGAGTGACGCACTTTGAGCAGCTCTCAGGGCGGAAGCAAAGATGTCCCATCACAGCTGTGGGGCACCCACGGGTGAGCCACGCTCTCAGGAGGCTGGGTATCAGCATTTACAATTGTATAAGGCAGAATCGATAAGGGATGACTGATCGATTAATCCTGTGACAAGTAAATACCAATGAATGTCTGCTTCAAATAGGTTTACAATTTGAGTCCTTTGAAAAAAAAAAAAGTTGGGGCCCCTGGGGGGGCTCAGGTGGTGACGCGTCCGGCTTCGGCTCAGGTCATGATCTCATGGTTTGTGGGTCGAAGCCCCACGTCGGGCTCCGTGCCGACAGCTCAGAGCCTGGAGCCTGCTTCGGATTCTGTGTCTCCCTCTCTCTCTGCCCCGCCCCCGCTCACACTCTGTCTCTGTCTCTCTTTCCCTCTCAAAAATAAACAAACATTCAAAAAATTAATAAAAATAAAAAAATTTAATTTCATTCCAAATAAAGAAACAGATAAATAAAAAAGTTAATTCCTTTATTCATTTAAAGTGAGAAGCAGTTTATAAATTACCAAGTCTCCCACTTTATCAAGAAAATATTCATGTGTCATTTACATGTGGTTTTAGAACCTGGTGAAATAAATAAGAGCATTCTGACTCTTACTTACTTGGTAGCACTGCCCCACTGCCAGAGGAAATAAAATAGTTTTACTGCTTAATAAGGGGGAAAATATTGAAAGTACCAATTCACGGGGAAAGAAAAGTACACAGTAAGATGCTAGGAGATGCTATTTACTAGGCCCCTGAAGCTATTACCCAATAATGTTTTTCAACATAATGCTCCTACTCGTTTTTGAAAATTTGTTCCATTTTCCATGTCTCTAGAAGATGTCACATAATTATGTTTGATGGCAGGCCTGCTTTATAATCCTAAATTATCGCTTCTTTGTCAGATTTTGATTTTCCACTCAATCACCCAACCTTTTCTTACAGGGACTCTTCCATTTCCTTCCCCAGGAGAAAGGGCTGCTCTCCTTTCTAAAATGTTCATTCATGTCTCTAACTGTGCCACAAAGCGGTTAGGCTACAAAGCAAACACAGGGAATAAAGTTCCTTGTACGTTAACCAACACAATTTACTTGTACTGAGCTGAGGGGTCAACAGCTGCCTCTGGTGAAATTACTTGTCATGTTTGTACTCCATGAGACACCGGGCATTGGAAAAACAGATCTTTCGAACCCAAGTGAGGAATAAAAACCAAGTGTTGGAACCCTATCTCAGAATTAATCCAGTGACATGCAGAGGAGAGGACTTGTCTTTACTTGCACAAAAAGGAGAAAAAAAAAAAAAAAAGAAATCTCAGAAAAAGAACACAAGCTATTTCTTCCACAGCACAAAAGAAAAATTCCAAATGTTAATGAGAAAAACTGCAAGTACAAAGGTCACTGTAAATGTGCCACTGGGTTAAATGGCAAATATGGTCCTTGCTGATTTGGACTTCAAATGGCAAGTGGCCCGACAAGAGCTCTCCCACCGTGATGTGAAACCGGAAAGCAGTTAGCATGAGCTGAGCTCCTGCGTGTGCCAGGAAGCGGGTGTGGGAAGCAGGACGCTGATGGCCCCAGGAACTGACATCTACTGGGGACCTGTCCTGTGCCAGGTGTGTGCTTGGAGCTGTCCCGTGCCCAGTCCTGCCCACCATCTCGTGGGTCTGCTCTATCAGCATCCCCATTTCCGAGGGAAAGAAACTGAGGCTCAGAACTTAAGGCACTAGTCCCAAGTCTCATCTGCTGCGGCAGAACCAGGATTTAAGCTCAGGGCTTCCCGGTTCTGTAGCGCCGGGGAAGGAGGGCTGCCTGGCATCTCCATGGGAATAATCTGAGTCTTCATGGAAAAGGGGAAGGAACGAAAAGGGAAAGGGAAGGGAGCAGGGAGCACAAAGAAAGCCCAGACAGCGGCGAGAGAGGCTGTTTCCTAGAAACCCTGGAGCCTGTCAGCCTCCTGGGATTCAAGGAGCACCAGACGTGTGGATGCCTCAAAGGGCCAAATCCAGGGACATACTGGTAGCTCATGAATGAGTAGTTCTGATGACTCAGGGATGTCTGCTCTATGATATGGCTCCATTCATCATCTCTGTTTCCTCCAAATGAAAAATAAAGACACTAACCCCTAATTTGATAACTATTCTAGAGGGGATACTCCTCATTCACAACTAAAGGACCGAAATATTTCATTCAAAATCATAGCTAAAGAAAAAATATACTGCTAAAGAAAGATGAGCATTTCCATAACAGATAGTTCAAGAGCTAGAAAAAGGTTAAATTTATTTTACTTTATTTTTTTTTCAGTACTTTGCATATATCATTCCACTCCCTTCTGGCCTATAAAGTTTCTGCTGAAAAATCAGCTTATAGTCTTATGGGGTTTCCCTTGTATGTAATTGTTTTCTTTTCTCTTGCTGCTTTTAAAACTTTATCACTACCTTTTGCCATTTTAATTATTATGTCCCTTGGTGTGGACCTCCTTGGTTGATTTTATTGGGGGCTCTCACTGCTTCCTGAGTCTATTTCCTTCTACAGATTAGGGAAGCTTCCAGCTATTATTTCCTCAAATAAATTTTCTCTCTCTTCTCCTTCTGGGATCTCTATAATGTGAATGCTATTATGCTTGATGGTGTTGCTGAGTTCCCTTAACCTATCCTTCTTTTATAATTCTTTTATCTTTTTCCTGTTCTGTTTGGTTGCTTTCCATTACTCCCTCTTCCAGTTCAGGGATCAGTTCTTCTGCTTCCTCTCCTATTGATTCCCTCTAGTGTATCTTTAATTTTGGTTACTAAGTTCTTCATCTCTGTCTGATTGGTTCTTTGGCATATTTTCTGTCTCTTTGTTGAAGGTCTCGGTGAGATCCTCTACTCTTTTCTCAAGTCCCGTGAGTATCTTTACGACCATTACTTTGATTTCTCTATCAGACATATTGCCTACCTCTGGTTGGTTCGGCTCTTTTGCTGTGATTTTGTGCTAGTTTTTCAGTTGGGACACAGTCCTCTGTCCCCTCATTTTGTCTAACTCTCTGTGTCTGTTTCTATGTGTTAGCAAAGTCAGCTACATCAAGGAGGTTAATTTTAAATGGATTTTGGATGTAAAGTGTCCTCTGCAGTTTCTCAGAATAAATACTTGATGTTTTTCTGAGCCATCGTCATCTCATAATGGGAAGGTAAGGGTTCTGGTAAAAGTAGGTAGCTTTCCTGAGTAGCCCTGAGGTTATAAGTGTTTTTATCAGGATTAAGAAATCAAAGCAAAACCCAAACCTAAAGGCTAAAATGAATTTCTAACCAGCACCAGAAATGCAACCCAACCCCCCCTTTTTTGGTGTTTCAGTGGGTGGTGGCAACAAGGGGTCTAACCAGCAGGTTGATCAGCTAAGCGTTATAATACACAGGTTGAGAGCTTAGAGGTTGACCAACTTGGGTGTGAACCCCAATAAGCAGTGATCTTCCCTCACCTGAGTGATTGCACCTCCCTGTCACTGTTACTGCTCTATGCAGGGGCTTCACCGTTGGGGGCCTCACATCTTAGAAACCTCCATGGACCGCTGAGAGGGCAAAACTACTTTCAAGCCAGAAACATTGGAGGAAATGTTGGTAGTTTATATGGCAACTTTTACTCCCAAGTCAAAATCACCTGAGGACATTGCCTCAATTATTTCTGTAACCAACGCTTAGAACTCTTCTGCCAAAAAATGCCCCAAATGCCAGGAGAGGCTACCTCAGAGACCATGGCCTCAGCTCATCCTTGTCCACTGCCTGTTCTGCTGTGCCCCCATGTGCTATAGGGATTTGAGCCAGCCCAGTCAGGTTTGTGATTGACTATCAATTGGAGACAACCAAGTTATTCCCAAGTACAAGACTCTGTACTCATGGGATGCACTGGAAAACCTCTTCACAGGTGGGTGAATGCCAGCTCGGTCTCTGAAATGTGGGTGAGTTTAGCTCCTGCTCAGACCTGGGAAGCTAAGAACACACCTCCAATTTTGACTGTGAAATCTTCAGCCACCATGCAGTTCCGGGCAGCAAGGTCCCTGTGGACAAACTTGTTGGCGTTGAGGTATGCCATGCCGTCTGCAATCTCTCCAGCCATCTGGATCATCTTGCTTAGGCTTGGAGGTGCTAGGACTGGATTATTCTGTTGGAGATTAAAAAAAAAAAAAAATTTCACGTGAGAATTTAGGAGTGTCCCCCACTCTAATTCCTCCAGGGTGTGCAAATCCATCTTTGTTCAATCTGAGCACCACAGGTCAGTCCACTAAGAAACAGGACTTGCTCAGAAGGAACATATTATTATGGAGACCATAGCATCTGCTTCGTGGTAAAGTCATGCGCTTGCCCGCTGACCACATCACACAGAGTTGCAGAGAGAAACGCTAATTAGCACAACTTGGGACCAGCATTTTCTATTTTGGGTAGGGCAAAAATTATTTAAAGTGAAACTAACAATTTCAGATATTAAGATTTCTTGATTACTCAAGTTTTTATTAGTTTGTATGTTCCTTTTCTGTCTATAATCAAAGTGCAGGTGAAAGGAGCGAGAGAATATTACAAAGGCTGTGTGGAAATAAGTAAATGTGTTTCCCAAATGGACACTGGATGCTTTATTTCCCATGTGAGCATCGTTATCAAGTATCCGATCTTTTTCTTTCTCTTTAACTTTCATCTAAAGTACAAAAGTATCAGGACTAACGTTTTCACTTCACAACGTGGCACTCCTTGGGTTGTTGTTTTCTGTGGGCACCAAGGAAAACAGGCACTCGCCAATAAATTTAAGTCCAGATGAAGCATATTCTGGAGGGGGATCAATGTAAAACAGGGACACGTAACATGATAAGCATTTCCTCTTTGTAGAGGAGGGCTTTGGAATTAAAGAGAAATACCTCAGAATAATAAAAAAATCCATGTAGAAAAAAGCTTATATAAAACATGTGCCAAAATCTCTCCATCCTAAAAAAAAAAAAATACAGAGCAAATCAGCCCGCCACAGGTTAGATACTAACCACCTCTTGCTTGTGCTGTGCGATAGAGTTTACCTCAGTTTCCCTGACTACAGAGCATCTGTTACAACACTGCAAAGCCACATTACCCTGACAGGTCCCAAAGCGCCACCTTCCCGGCTCAAACCCTGGGTGCCAGGGGAAGAGCATGCCTGGGTGGGGTCACTGCCGGAAGCATGAGCTGGGACCACACATGGAAAGTGCCTGCCAGTGCCTGGCCAGGGTCTGTGCTCAGTGGATGTTGGCTTTGCCCAGTGATGTGCTGGTTTCTGCTGAAAGCTGCCTTCTAGAAGCAGTATAACAACCCTCCAAAGCACTTGTGGGTTAGTTCCCTACACATGACGTATGTTTACATTCTGAAGAGACTATCAAGACAGTCTCTGGTGGTTTAAAATACTTATCACGGAGTTTCCTGGGGGAAGTGACATGATGTCCCCAAGGGTAAGCCCAAACCAGCACTTTCTTTTTACATGGGAGTCTCCTTTAGACAAGCTTTTCTGTCTCAGGACCCACCGTTGCCTTTTAAGCTTTCTGGGGCTTTAGATGTGCATGGTATGCTAGGAAATCTTCAGGTGAACTGTTAAGTTGATGCTCATAATACTTAAGCTGTGGAGTATTAAGTATATGTGTTTACTGGAAGTGGTCATTTATGGGCGCCTGGGTGGTTCAGCCAGTGAAGCGTCTGACTTCAGTTCAGGTCATGATCTCACGGTTCGTGAGTGTGAGCCCCGCATCGGGCTGTGTGCTGACAGCTCAGAGCCTGGAGCCTGCTTTGGATTCTGTGTCTCCCTCTCTCTCTCTCTGCCCCTCCCCTGCTTGCACCCTGTCTCTCTCTCTCCCTCAAATATACACATTAAAAATTTTAAGAAAAAAGAAGTGGTCATTCATAGTTAACATGAAGGATAGAATCAATAAAAGGAATCTGATTATACATATTGGAAGAGAGGGCTGACATCTGATCAGTTCATGGTGCCACACTGCCATTCTTTCAGGCGTTTCAGAGAGCGGAAATCTTTAATCTGCTTCGAGCTACTGAAGGCATGTATACACAAACACCCACATTTAGCAAAGTAAATGAGCAAATCTTAACTTGGGGAGAAGATGCCAAATAGAGTATAATGAATCTGCAGGACAAGCATACATATTTTTATCCTTGACCTGAGTTAGAAAGAACAAGTTTAAATCTGACACATCTAAAAGTGAATTTGAGATCTGGAAAAGGGACTTTCAGAAACCTTCTTGTCCAACCATCTTATTTTACACACGAGGACACTGAGGTGCGGAGGCCCGAAGCAGCTGCCTGAGGACGGCAGACAGCTTGCAGCAAAGCCGGGACGGAGACGACGTGTTTCCAAACGTTTATTCTGTGCCTGAAATCGGGGACGCAGGGAATGAGCGTTTCATACTTTTCAGATGTCTGCATGAATCTGATAAGAAATACACTGCCGTGTCTTGAGCCACCTATCCGATGAAGCTTTTCTCCCTCATGCTGGCTTGTGTATTACAGAAGTGGGGCAGTTTACGATCCAGGGGACCTGGGGAGCCACGCTGTAGAGCAGAGGGTGGGTGTGTGTTGTAAATCATCCTGCTCAGGGCCTTGGGCCACACTTGGCCTCGTGACCCTCAGAGAACCACAAGGACAATCATCTGCTGTGAATGGAGGAAGCCACGTGCAAACAGGTGCTCAGAACTAAAATTTAAGGAACAACTACTTGGGAGATAATTAAGTTGTAGATGAAAAGAAAACCAAAGATTAGGCTCAAACAGGGAAAGGCTGTAGAGATTCAAAAGGGAAGTATTCTGGGAATACAAGCAGATGCAAAGCCTGCTCACCACAGAGCAAAGTCAGGGTGAAAGTGAGGCCTTCAGACCCACCGAGGGGGCCGAATGAAAGGCAGATGTTGCTGGTATTATTTGTAAGTATTTATCTACGAGTTTATTCTTAGAGTGACTCACTTGGAGTCATGCTTCCATATGCTAAAAAGCTGCCTTGTGGGTTCATGCCACAGACGGGGAGACACCACAGTGACTAATGAAAAATTGCAGAGGACTTCAGCAGGTTTACAAGTTGAAGCTCATAACACAAATTGGTCTTTTTTACTAGACTAAGCAGACACTGTGCAGCCGAGGCGATTATCATTCTGCCTCAGGATCAAGCCTGACATGTGGATGCAGAGTTCGAGAAAACAGGGCCTCCCAGTCTCAAAGGCTCAGACTGTTGACAGCCTGGGGGAAGGGACGTGTGTGGGGAAGGGGATTGTGAATAGGGGGGCATCTATGTGTACAGAGCCGGGTGGGAAACCACACCAGCAACAAGAATCACGTCAACCTAACATTGAACTCTGACAGGCGTTTACTGAAGGACTGCCTGCCACAAACACGGACCCTGAACGGGCAGCGCTCGGAGCCTGGGAGGAAAAGCTGAACACGATGGGGTGGAAGGGGAATCCACTCGGAGGACCACAGAAGAGAGAGTTGGTGCTAGGGGAGCAGTCATGGAGGGTTCCTGCCTTCTGGGCGGGGGAGCAGGGAAGGCTTCAGGGAGGAAGCTGTGCAGAAGCAGGGAGAAGTCAGGGAGCGTCTGCGGCGGAGGAGGGAACTAAGGGGGGCGGAATGCAGAACAGGAGGACAGAGGGGTTAAGCAGAAGGGTATCTGAGAAATGGCAAGGGGCTCCCACAAAAGCTCGAGGTCTCTCTCTAGTCGGGGACATCTTTCATACAAAGGACCTGTAACCAAGCATGCAGCAAGAAACATTCAATGTTGAAAAGTAAGCAGGTTTAAAGACACAGGGGTGCCTGGTGGCTCCATTGGTTGGGTATCTGACTTCGGCTCAGGTCATGATCTCACGATTTGCGAGTCTGACCCCGGGTCGGGCTCTGTGCTGACAGCTTGGAGCCGGAAGCCTGCTTCCCGTTCTGTGTCTCCCCTTCTCTCTGCCCCTCCCCCGCTCACACTCAAAAACATTTTTTAAAAATAAAAAAAATAAACACACAATATCTTCTGGGGGGGGGTGTGGTGGGAAGGTGCTAAAGAAAGAACAGGTAACGTATGAAGTCCGTGAAAACCAAAACTGACCTCTATTTCTGGCCTCAGAGACCTGAGATAACTTTTGAGATCGCCCCGCGTCATCAGTTCCATGATGACCAGCGTCGGCTGGCCTTGGGACACCACGCCCAGCAACCGCACCTGGGAGGAATGACAGAGAGAAGGACTCAGAGGGTGAGGGTTGCCCGTGACAGTCCCCATCCAGACTGCTAGAACAGTCTGTGACCTGCAGAGCCCAGACGTGCGGGCCACAGGGCCCCCACTGGCCGGGGTCTACACCACAGTCAGAGCCGCTAGTGCACAGGTGTCTAAGGGCCAACAGTGAGGTGACAGGGAACTCTGGAAGGCGGGGCGAGACACCAAACCCCCAAGTGATGCCACTGACACTCTGGGGGGCCCCACTGAGGTGTTCTCCCTGTGTCAGTTTCTGGCTTCTCAGGGCATTCTCTTACCACATGGTGACAATTGAACTCCTTCATCACTGAAGCCTCGTTGAGAAATTCAATCCTTTCACGCATGCTCGCGGCCTCGTTCACCGTTTTGATGGCCACCCTGGTTTCGGGCTCATCTTTAACCACGCCTTTGGCAACTCCTTCGTAGACCATCCCAAACGAGCCCTGCCCCAGCTCTCGGCTCATGGTGATTTTCTCCCGAGCAACCTCCCACTCATCAGGTACATACACTGGAGAAGAAGAAACCAGAACCGAAACAGGTAAGGCAGGGAGCCCCTGGGCAGAAGATGCTTTTGGGGGAAACCAGAATGCAAGACGCCACTTCCTGAAGTCCACAGAGAACATCAGGAAACAGTGACACAGCTTGTCCTGAAATTTCTGCAAGACAGCTATACGGTCACACACTGGTATTTCAAGTCTTCAAGGATTCTGAGATAATTTTAGGATCCTAACAGCACACAAGAACCACAAAGGAATCCAATTTGAGATGCGCTAAGTATAGAATTCACAACAGGCTTCAAAGACTTAGTACGAAAAAAAAAATCACGCAAATATTTTAATAGTTTTTAGACTGACTACCTATTTAAATTGATAATACTTTGGACATACCGGGTTAAATAACGTGTATCATGAACATTTTTTCACTTCTTTTTTTAATGTTTTTTCATGTTATAGAAAGAGAGAGCATGAGTGGGGAAGGGGCAGAGAGAGAGGGGAGGACAGAGAATCTGAAGTGGGCTCTTCACTGACAGCAGTGAGCCTGATGTGGGGCTTGAACTCACGGATTGTGAGATCGTGACCTAAGTGAAGTGGAATTTCAATTGACTGAGCCACGGCAGGTGCCCCTCACCTGTTTCTTTTATACTTTTTTAAACGTGGTTATTAGAAAAACTTATGGTTACATATGGGACTGGCCTTCTATTTCTATTGGTAGCACTATTCTAGTTTAGACAAGTGTCTCCAGCCTCACCGAAGCCCCTGGGGTGTCTATACAGGAACAGAAGCTGCTGAACTCTGGCACCAAGGACCATCAGTGGTGAGCAAGGTGGAGGGACAGCTGGTGAGCTCAGGGGTCTCCCCAGGGCCCTGGCCTGAGCTCCATGAACTCAGGGACCGCCCACAACTGGGTTGAGGGGCTGGGAGGTGGGACATGGTAAGACAGAGCCTGAACATGACTTCTCCAGCCAAGGCTTTCAGTCAATCTGTTTTAAGAAAATAAAGAAGTAATTCCAGGCAGGCAGGAAGGAGAAAGAAAGAGGAAAAGGGAGAAGGGAGGTAAGAAAGAAAAGAAAACAATACAGAGGATCCATCCCACAACTCACATGGGCAGAATGAAAAAGAAAAAGAAAAAAACAACCGCAACCTGTTCCATTAGCTCCCTAAGAAATGTCAGTTATAAGGACATCCTTCTAATGCTGTGTGTGCTTCTGTCCTTGCCGGAGAGGGGGATTCCCAGCAGGCTCCACTGTATACCAGGAAGGGGTCCCGGCTCAGAAATGCAGGACTGGGGAGCTGCGATGGCATCTGTGTTTGCTTGTATGCTTTTGGACGTTAACCTTGCGCTTACGGCTGGATGTGGGAGAAGCAGTGGCTGGCAGCTGGATTCCAACACCACTGGGTCTCCTGTTCTTTCATGTCTGGAAGGAAAGACGTCTATAAATTAGGCCCAGGAGATCCCACCAACTTACGCCACTGAGGAGTGTCCAATATGGCCTATGTTCATCAATCTAGAATTTTCTGTCATACGCACTTTTGTATTTCCCATTACATATGTAGTTTAGGAATTTCGTAAACGGGAGTCTACCTTCTATGTGGCTTAGATGTCATACGGCCCCTAAGAAGAGGCTGAGGCTTGCTTAGGAGAGTAAGTATGCAAGACAAGCCAGTAGATAAGACTCCTCACGATACCCCTCAGAAAGTATAAAGAGAAACCGCCTGTATCCGTTTATCTCCAAAAATCCGGGCTTGCTTTTAATCAGAATTAACTCTGTAGCACACCATAAAACACGGAGTTAAAACCAATCCCATTCCTTCCTTGGGAGGTCCCTGAAGTCAATACTTGCAATCTCTTTCTCTAAATTCAACCCAGCAGCTCTGACTCGAACCAGCAGGTCCTAAGCCCCGCCAGCCAGCAACGGGTTATGTGCACAATGTTATCAGCACTTCCCTAGAGGGGATTTTCGGTATATTCTGGAGAATGGTGACGTGCAGAATAGCTTCTGGAGAAAGAAGTTTTTAAAGCATTTTCGAACTGCAATGTCATTTTGTCGCCCCTTGAGGAGACTAACTATAAGGTGCTTGTCAAATGGCCGACTAAATTAAGTTCAAATGAGGTGACCGTGTTCCTACCTGTTGTTGGCCTGGGTGACAATGCGTTGGGTTTTTATTTTATTTTATTTTTAAAGGCGAATCAAGGCATATTATGAAAGTAGTTCTGGAAAGATATAAAATTTGCATTCAAATCACCATTAGAGTCTGATATTATTGTATTAATGCTCTTTCTAAGCTTCCTGGACACTTCATAGTCAAAACGACAAAATGCCAGTCTTCTGTGCTTTATTTCAAAGCAGAGCAAATTCTCTGGAATAGCCTTATTTCACCTCTACAGAGAAGGAAAGTGGCCTTGCATTTCCTCATAAATTCCATTAAGTGTGTGATGACTCCTTACCTTATCTGACTTAAAAAAAAAAAAAAAAGCTATTGATTATATAAGCAATGCATAAAAATCTTTTTGCTTTTTTTTTTTTAATAAAGAAAAAGATACTTTCCACAAGTAACTACTATTTTAAATTTGGTGTGTATCCTTCCAGAATGCTCTCTATGTCTTATATACATACATACATCAAAGGAGTATAGAAATATGTGTGTGTGTACGTGTGTATGTGTATGTACACACATACCTACATGCCTATTAAAAATACAGCTTTGTGGGGCACCTGGCTGGCTTAGTTGTTTAGGCGTCCCGCTCTTGATTTCGGCTCAGGTCACGATCTCACAGTTCACGGGGTCAAGCCCTGCATCAGGCTCTGTGCTGACAGTGAGGAGCCTGCTTGAGATTCTCTCTCCCTCTCTCTCTCTCTCTGCCCCTCCCCTCCTTGTTCTTTCTCAAAATAAAAATAAAATAAAGACATTAAAAAATACAACTTTGTGAGACTTCTATAGAATCAGGAAGAATGTCCTTATTCTGCACTTGATTCCCATTCAGGGGAGGCTGCTTTTGATCGGCTTTGCTGTAAACAGAACTGAATTAGAAATTATTAGAGAAATCATAACAAAACTTTACACATTTATATAGTGCTTTTAAAGCATCAGTGTGTTTTCTTATGTTTTCCATTTACTCAGGGTAATCAATCAGAATAATCACAACTCCATTTCACACGTCCTGCACACCAACTTTCACTTCACCTGAAGCAAGAAGGAGGCACACACGGTTTCTAAACACACCTCCCTGAGTTCATGTACTCATTCGTTCATCTGGTGGACCCAAGCCAGCTCCTCCTGTGGGTCAGCTTCCCTGCGGTCGACAAGATGCCAGAGACCATGTCATCCTGACTTCTCAACCACCTAGTATGCACATGTGTCCTCTGAACCTCACCGCCTCACCTACAGACAGGCGGGTATTAGAAAAGCCACCTTACCGGGACACAGGGATCAAAGGGAACAGCGTTTGTAAAAGCCCCCGGCAAGTGCCAGTATCACTAGACCCCAGGACCAGTGCCCGGCCTGGACTTACTTATAAAGGTTTGGATTCAAGCACAATAGGGAGAAGAGACAGTAAATAAGGAAAAAACGAAATAACCATCGAATAGAACCCAACTGCCAAGTCAGACCTCAGTCACTTAACTAAATGGACCTCATGAGTTATTACCCAAGGGTATGTGAATGGGCCGTGAGGGTCTAAGTCATAGGAGCCCGGTCAGGAGGGAATGAGCAGAAAAACTCCAAGACAGAAAAATGCAGAGAAGCCATGAGTGATCAGAGACCATCAGAGCGATACGAAACTCAGGCTGAAACAAGTTTAAAGGAACTATTTGGTCAGCTGCAGCGTATCCTCTGACTAGATGTCAACAATTAAACAACTTTTGTCATCCTAGCATAAAATCTCAGGCAATTAAGTAAATTGACAACTGTGCTGACCAGTTGTCTCTGAAGACTGTTTTTCTTTGGGAGCATCCCATACAGTCCCAGCATTTTCGACATATTCAGTGAACTGCTCAAAACTTTGATTTAAAAGAGAAAGGGGGCGGGGGCACCTGGGTGACTCAGTCCAGTAAGCGTCTGACTTTGGCTCAGGTCACGATCTCACGGTTTGTGAGTTCAAGCCCCACGATGGGCTCTGCGCTGACAGCTCAGAGCCTGCTTGGGATTCTCTCTCTCTCTCCCCCTCCCTCTGCCCCTCCCCTACTCGCTCTTTCTCTCTCTCTCAAAATAAGTTAACTTAAAAAAAATAATAAAAATTTAAAGAAAGTGTTAACGACGACATATTTGAAGCCAAAGTTACGTCAAATAACGCAAACCTCTTCTCCCTAAATTAGCTGCACTCCTGAAAGCTCCCCAGTCTGGGACCAGGCAGTGTCCGGAGCTTAGCTGCTTACCATCTGCGGCACTGAAGTACTCTGGGTTCACCGAAGCATACAGCACTCCATTCCCCAGCCTGCTGTTATTTCTGTAAGAAGGGAAAAATTCAGGTTAAAAAAACCCCGACGTGCACACATCTCATCTTCGCTCTATCAGCTTTATTTATCCCGTTTTAAGTATCAGGAGGAAGGGAGCAAGGGGCACCTACTGCCTGCAGACCCTCGCCTACACTCCCCCATCTGACCTGGGGCCGAAGACATCTGCTAACAGGGCTCTGGGCTTCCTCAGTGGTCTTGGATGAAAGCCTTGTAAGAAACATTTGTTTCTTGGGGCGCCCGGGTGGCTCCGTCGATTGGGTGTCTGACTTTGGCTCAGGGTCATGATCTCATGCTTCATGAGTTCAAGCCCCACCTCTGGTTCTGTGCTGTCTGCACAGAGCCCACTTCAGATCCTCTGTCTGCCCTCCTCTCTCTGCCACTCCCCTCCTTTCGCTCTCCCCCACATTAAGAAAAAAACAAAAAACCAAAACCAAACAACTGTTTCTTTACTTCATTGGAAATTGAAAGGTCTACTGGATAGAAAAGGCTGGGACACTGGGTTTGGAAAATCTCTGCATAAGCAGCGGTATCTGAGGGTGCAACCAGCAAGGGGACAAACCCTACCGGCCTGAGATATATTTTCTGTTGTCACTGACTCGTTAGGAAACGTTCCCTTTTCCTGTGAAGAGCAGTGATTGGAAAATCAGGTTTCCCGACCCATGGGGTATTTCCTCAAAATCCTCAAATCGCGTACCTGAACTCAGGTTGAAATCATCAGAGCACACAGCCACAAAAAGTGTCTGAGCTTTTCCTGGAGGCTCTCACCTTTTTCTGTGGAAGACGTACAACATGATAACCAGTCCCCCCACTATCAGCAGGACGGCAACAGGCAGAGCGATGATCAGGTGGATGAAATTTTCATATGTTACTGCCGAGACAAGGGAAATGATAAAATATCACTGGGTGAACAAGCTGGTCCTCTTTTTTTTTTTAAGCTGGAAATATGAAAAAAAAAAATCCCCCCAAATTCCTTGACTGCCCTATCACAAACTAGGAATTCTGAAGGTAAATGGTATTGGATAGGACACAGCAAAAACCCCTGAGTTATCTGGGGGGGGCGGGGGGTGGAGATAAACTAAGTGTGTACTGAGGAGTATAGTCATTTTTAAAGTACAGTGTATTCCTGGGGCACCCGGGTGTTGAGCTCAAGTGGTTAAGCATCTGACTTTGGCTCAGGTCATGATCTCATGGTTTGTGAGTTTGAGCTCCACATTGGGCTCTCTGCTGTCAGTACAGAGCCTGCTTCAGATCTTCTGCCCCCTCTCTCTGCCCTTCCCCCACTCGTGTGCTATCTTTCTACTAAAAATAAGTAAATATTTTTTTTAAAAAGTACAGTGTATTCTGAAATAACAGTTCAAATGGTGGGCTCAAATGAAATAATATTTGTATGCAATTCAGTGACTGTTAATGTATACATATATATATAAATAAATTTGCTAAAATAAAATGAATAGATTTTTACATAAAGAGTGCTCAAGTGGTACTGATGCTTGTTTTTATTTAAGAAGAATTTTTTTTAATGTTTATTTATTTTTGAGAGAGAGAGAGAGAGAGAGAGAGAGACAGAACGCAAGCCGGGGAGGGGCACAGAGAGAAAGACACAGAATCTGAAGCAGGCTCCAGGTTCTGAGCTGTCAGTACACAGCCCGATGTGGGGCTTGAACCCACGAACTATAAGATCATGACCTGAGCCGAAGACGGATGCTTAACCAACTGAGCCACCCAGGTGCCCCCTTTTTTTCCCCTAAGATAATTTTTTCAAATGTTTATTTATTTTGAGAGAAAGAGACAGAGAAAGTGCGTGTGTGTGAGCAGGTGGGGGGTAGAGAGAAAGGGAGAGACAGAATCCCAGGCAGGCTCCTCACTGTTAGTGCAGAGACCAACTCAGGGCTGGCTCCCATGAACTGTGAGATCATGACCTGAGCGGAAGTCAAGAGTCAGACATTTGACTGAGCCACCTGGGTGCCTTGACCTTTATCTGTTAAGATAGTTTCATAGACAATTAAAAAGAAAACAAAAAACAAAACACCCCCCCCCCCCCAAAAAAAACCACAACTAACTCGATGGCACCCCTTGCCGAAATTGCTCTGAATTCTCCCCAAATGTTTGGGTCTAATTACAAGCTTGACCGAAACACCTGCTCCTCACTGTCACCAGCCCTCATATGACAGGAGCCAGGATGGACACTGGGGATGCTGACGCATACTCTGGAAGATTCTCCTGGATGCGGGAGATGAGTGTGTCCACAGGTAGCACAAGAACCGAAAAAAGTGGGCTGCACACACTGCAGGGATGCAGAGAGGAAGGGAGAGGCGAGAAGGGAGCCAGGGGAAGCCTTCCAAGTGCAGAGGAACGGCTGGAAAGGATACTGGAGACTGGTTCCCAAGGGGCCTGTTCAAGCTGAGCAGTTTGAACCTCATTCTGCAGATGAAAGGCAGCCGGTGTGAGCTCTCAGGCCCCGCAGTGAACCGATCAGATTTGTGTCTGGAGAGATGGCTGTGCGTGAGGCCAGCCTGCAGCGGGCTGGCAGCATGGAGGAGGCACTGCGGGTCCTGGAGGGGCTGGGCCAGGGGGCGGGGACCTTGGTTTGTGCTGCGTTATCTAGCCCAGACCTCACAAAGAGACCACTGGTCCTTTTCTATAGAAGAAGACTCCCAGAGGTGACCTGAACTCCCCAAGGGTCACACAGGCAGCTGGTAAGCCATGGTCCTGGGATTGGGAGGGTACAGGCTTCCTGTACCCACAGCTCAGAGCTGCCCCAAAAAGCAAGCACCTGAAGTGGTGGCAACAGGGGCTGGATTTCAGTGGCACACGAGAGGCTGAATCAATGTGACAGGGGGTGGGGGGTGGGGGTTGCTGAATGAGAAATGGGTGGCTGGGGAGAAAGAAAAGGTGGGGAATGGCTGTAACGGTCCAGGCTTGGGTGGGGCATGGATTATGGTGCCACTCACTGACCTTGGGAACAGAGGCCAGAGAGATACTCTGAGGGTAGCAGCTGTGATTTTGGTTTTGTGCACGAGGAGTTCAAGTCTGAGGTACGCGAGCAGGGGAGGGGCAGACAGAGAGGGAGACACAGAACCCGAAGCAGGCTCCAGGCTCCGAGCTGTCAGCACAGAGACTGACACGGGACTTGAACTCACAACAGTGAGACCATGACTTGAGCCAAAGTTGGATGCTTAACTGACTGAGCCACCCAGGAGCCCCAAGCTATTGTACTTTTAAAATTAAAGACATTTTGGGGGCGTCTGGGTGGCTCAGTCGGGTGAGTGTCCGACTCTTGATTTCAGCTCATGATCCCGAGGTCATGGGATCAAGCCTGGTGTTGGGCTCTGCGCTGAGCACGGAGCCTGCTTAAGATTCTCTCTCTCTCTCTCTCTCTCTCTCTCTCTCTCTCTCTCTGCCCCCCTCCCCCTGCTCATGCTCTCTCTAAAATAAAAAAAAAAATTAAAGACATTTTTTATCAGATAGCTCTCAGAAATGGATTCAGTCTCCTGCATTTTCCAATTCTTGAAAATACTCTCAAGTTATCACTGCCTTTGGGAAGCCAGTAGAGTTTTAGTTTTTCTTCCTGAGGACTATTTCTTACATTTGTATCACTGATACTACCGGTCAGGCTGTACTGTGTTCTTTCTGAGTCCCACATTTCAACAGGGACATGGACAAACGGGAACACAGCCAGAGAAGAACAAAATGATTAGACGGGTAGAAAATTGGTCTCTGAGACTGGGGCTACAAGAAAGGGCCAAAAGACCAGAGATTATTTAGTCTGGAGAAGAAAAGTCTGGAGAGTAATTTAATAGTTTTCAAGCACAAGAAGGGCTCCTTAAAGGAGAGCAGTTGCCAGAAAGCCTTGTAAAGCTTCTGTCTCCTCTGAGGATTAAACAGGAGGAAGAGACACTGCACTGGGACAGGAGAGTCTTGTCTGACATGAGGACAAACCTCCCAGCAGCAAAGCGGGCATGCAGATTTAATTTTCCTGCAGTAGACGTCAACTTCTGCTGGAAAGAGTCCATCAGAGGGACTCCCGGTTTCCAGTGGGAACCTAGCACTCACGGGGTTAAAGATGGGGTAGCCATGGCACAGAGGGCCTCGCCTTCTCTGAAGGTAAGTCAGAGCTGCTATTTCAAAGGTCGCAGCCTGATGCTCGACCGACCCCTAAACTGAGGCTCTTGTTCCTAAGGGATGAGGAGAGGGGAGGGGAGAAGAGGAAGCTAGATGCTACTCTAGACAGAACTATGGTGAAGGTTCTAGCACTGGACTGGGTGGCACAGGCACACTGGTAAGAGCAGGGTAAGTGGACCCCATGGGGAGTTCAGACTACTTTAGTTGATGGAATAACCTGCCTCAGCTATCTGTTTACCCCTAAAACTTGAACTCAGGCACAGGGCCAGGCTCATAAAAATGCTACCTTGAGGTCTGCAGTTCTATTCACTCCATTCTTCTTCTGATATTTGTACTATTAGGATTTTCAAATACCTGTCTTTGGCTATTAGGCACTAACCAGGTGGACTGCTGGAAAGGCTGAAGTCCAGAACTTAAAAACTCGGGGCGCCTGAGTGGCGTCCAGCTTTGGCTCAGGTCATGATCTCATGGCTTATAAATTAAAGCCCCGCATGGGGCTCTGTGCTGACAGCTCAGAGCCCAGAACCTATTTTAGATCCTGTGTCTCCCTCTCTCTCTGCCTGTCTTCCACTCGCCCTCTGTCTCTGTCTCTCTGTCAAAAATAAATAAAACATTAAAAAATAAAAAAAAAAATAAAAATAAAAACCTCAGACAGCAAATCAGGGCAGCAAAGAGGTGGATACTAGGAGGGACCAGGGGGGTGGGGACCATCCACTGGACCCAAAAGTAGCACCAGTAAGCAAGGTGGGTCTGTGCTTCCATGTGGGGCAGTAAGGAGCAGTGTTATGCCAAATTTGACCCCAGTATCTGAACATGAAATAATCTTAAAAAAAACTGGGTTCCTAATTAGAAAGAGAAACTCAATATGGAAATGATAAGGAATATTTATGTCACCACAGAAAATACTGCATTTTCTTGGCCAACCAACCATAGGGCCCTTGGTGTACCTACACATTTTACAAAACTCAGTTTTAAAATCTGAAATCCTTGTCTAGAACAGCCTTCTAAGAATTCTGTCTTGTCAACGGTTTGAGCATAAAATCACAACATGGCCCAGTCTGGGTGCCGGCCGGCGAGCACTGGGCACATTCTACATGTGTTTGTGCTTTCAAAGTGCATCTGTAGTTTACTGGCAGGCAGGGAAGGCAGGGAAGGGGACAAGGCCTGTGATGCTACCACAAGGACTCCTCTCCTGGAACAGGCTGGACTGGAGGCCCCCAGATTTCTGTCACCCTTTAGGATTCGAAGCCCTGAATCTGAGCCCTAACTAGCAGCCCTAACTGGACAAGGGGCAGAATGGTCAACTCAGCACTTTGTAAAAATGCTTTGGACATTAAACACGTTGGAAGCAAAGGCCCCCTCAAAAGGCCTCCCTGGAAAGGGGCTCTGACCCTCTCCCTGCCCCACGAGCGAGGTAGGAACCCTTAACAGCGGCGGCAGCCCAGCTGGAGCTCCCAAACGAGATGCCGGCAGGCGCACGACCCTTCTGAGATGTGCCCAACTCGGCTCCAACATGGAATCAGAAAGTCAGAGGGCCCGACAGCCCAGGCTTCCCCGGTCCCGGCCCAGCCTGCTTTGGGGGTTCCCAGCTACTCCCTCCGCAAGCCTTACTTTTGGCGGGGACGTAGAAGAACACGGGATCCGTCCACGACCCATTCCCAGAGAGAGAGGTGGCCTGGATCCGGGCCGTATAGTTCCCGGGGTTGAGCCGGTTAAGCTTGGCGCCTCCATACTTCCGGTACTCCTGTCTGGATACACATTCCCGCTGATCCTGGGGGAAAAAAACATAGGTGCCAACTCCCCACGAGCACGTGATAAATGGGTGCCTCTTGCTACCCAGTGTCTCACATCCCATCCAACAGTGATCCCGATGAGCGAGCACAGGAAAGGAACCCAGTGTTGAATGGCCGTCTTCCAGTGACCATACACACACCCAAGTTCTAAACGAACTTTTCTTTCTTTCTTTGTAATCAAAAAGAGCTGCAGAAAGATTAAGGGTTACTGAGACCAATCTATTCTGTGCCAGAAGATCGCTTTCTGCAAGGGGGATAGTTTCTTAAGGGCGAAAACAAGCCCACCTCCTCGCATATTCCGAGTGCTCTGGGCAGAGTGCGGGGCAGCAGAAAGACCTAAATCCTCGCTGACTTGTCTCTGTGGGTTATGTCGTTAAGTCCTCGGCTAACCGGGAGGCGACCTGTGCCATCGACTGGAATGGAAGCATAGCCAGGTACAGACCACCGCCCCACGCTTACCTCGATTTGTGATCCATATTTTATTTCATACATTAGAATCAGTCCATTGGGATTCTCAGGTTCCGGCCACTTTAAAAAGATGGAGTTTTCAGGCCTTGACTCCCAGGTCACCGGCCCAGGAATGTCGTCTGCTCCTTCTGCGCAACAATTTAAACAAGCGAGAAAGTCAGATTCGGGTACCCCTTGGTGGGGGTGGGGTGGAGGCTAACCTAAGAATCCCCTCCCCCCAGGCTGTGCCTGCAGGGCTGAGGGCGGTGGCCACACAGGTTCCTCCAAAGCTGGGTGCTCACACATCGCACCGGTTTGGAACCCAAGCAATCTAATGACCTGTGGGGCTCAAGATGCCACAGTCCCTTCCCTCCCCTCAGACTCCCCGCCCCTGCAAAAAAGCCTGCTATCTCTGGAGAAAGGAACCTATGCGATGCTGTGGAACAGAAGCAGCATCAAAAAGGTGCCTTGCAAGCAGAGGAGGCAGCAGCAAGCCTCCAGGCCGCGATGCGGACCCTTCCGAGTCTGCGTCTGCACATGGCAAACGCATCTTTTTTACGCGGGCATGAAGGACGGCCCGCAAGCCAGGCCTGTTGAGGAAGCCGCTGGGAAGCTCGTGCTGGGACCCAGCCCTCACAGCCACCATCAACTCCTCCTCCAGCCATCAGGGAAGGCTGGGTGTTTGCTCTCTTGCTAAAGCAGTAAGCCGAGTGGTGAGCAAGAGTCACTGCAAGTTACAGCTGGCGAAGGCTCTGAGAAATGAGCTGGTCTGGGGCTCTCCTGGAAGGGTGGGGAAACTGAGGCCAGGGAGGCTGACAGCTGCTTCGAGACGTGCTGCATGTGAGCCCCAGGACTGAGCCCCCCTGCTAGACTCCAGTACTTCTGGGCTCCTTCTACCACCTGCTGTCCTGGCAGGAAAGAGAACTGGGCAGTTCACCTCTCCTTTTTTAAGAAATTTATTTATCTATTTTGAGAAAGAAATGCAGAAAGAGAAAATCCCAAGCAGGCTCTGTGCTGTCAGTGCAGAGCCGGACACGGGGCTCAATCCCACGAACTATGAGATTAAGACCTGAGCCGAAATCAAGAGTCAGATGCGTAACTGACTGAGCCATCCAGGTGCCCCCTGTCCTTAAAGATGGATGGCAGTCTGAGTAATAGGCAGCTTCTAACTTCCAAGGGGAACGCAAAGACCAAATAGGAGGACTAAAGGCTACTCCAGCAGTTGACCTTGAGAAGCAACAGTCACTCTGAGTCAAGGCAGTTAACTGATTCCTCCTGACCCCAGAACTCAGGAGGGACCGTGCAAATTTCCCTGTGCACAGATGGGGAAAAGGGCCGCGAGGCACCAAGGGGGAGGAAGAGAGTTGACCCTGAAGGGAGCTTCCCTGTTCCTGAGTACTTTGTATAGACAGGCTGGGATGGAGGTGATGTCATTAGGAGCAGACAGACTCCCTTCCCTGAGCTGCTGGTCTACCATGCTGCCTACGTGACCACCGTTCTTAATGAGCAGGATGGAGACTAAGGGTCATCGCCCGGGGTGTTCGACTCTGTGTCCACAAAACACAGGCTTCTCCACTGGGCTGTGAGTGAGTCAGGAGCGGGGCGAGTTGGATCACACTGTACCTGCAGGCATGGTTCTTGCAAAGACAAAGTTGGAGGCGCTGCAGCCCAGCTTCTCAGCCTCGTGGTTACAGCTGTGGATGTCAATGCGGTACAAAGTGAAAGGCCGGAGGTTAGAGATCACAGTTCTCTCCTTGTTATCCACTCTGCTCTCAAAGAAAGGGTATTCTGTCTCGAGCTCTTCGGGGTCTGTGATATTATAGGTGTCTGCCACCGTGATGTTCCTGCTTCGGCTGGACATGGTGGTGTTGGTGACTTGTGTGACATCTCTCCGCTTCCTTTCAGGTCTGTCAGGAAGAGAGAAACTTGGCTGGTAAGTGCTTCTGCCTCTTTGGTCCTTTCTATGACTTGGGTTAGAGTACCGGAAAGAAAAGAAAAATCTTCACTTTGGATAAAAGGAACTATTCAGACCCTTTGGATGAGAACCAACAAGTAATACGGGGATTTCCTCTGTTATTTATTTTGCTTTCTCTACTCTGCAAACCTCAGAATCGGCACACAAACTGCCCCCCCTGGCTCCCAGAGTAGTGACTCAACTGTACCTAGAGGCAAACAAAGGTCTCAGCCACTCCTGGCTCTGCAGTATCCTGGCTGTTTCATCACAATGTCCATGCTCCCTGGTCCACAGACCTTATGGTTAAACATTAACGGTGACCGACTTGCTGGCCACACTAAGGTTTATTAGGGGGTGAGGTGGGAGGGGGCAGAGGGAGTTCAAAGGCCTGTGGTGGTGGCTTCGCCGGCCCCCTTTGACTGTGGAAATAAAGATACCAGGCAGCGAGCCCTTGCTTGGACCCCCTGACCCTTCCCTCTGGGGCTCCCGCTGAACCCCCTCCTCCTCTGAGACCCCGTTGTCTCTATTTCTCACACTCCTGGAGGTCTTTCCAGCCTGGTTTTGCCTCCCACTCAGCAGTGACCTCCTATGGCCTCTCCAAGGCTCTGCTTTAACAGGGGCAGAGTCACTGCCGTGGACTTGACTAGGGCTTAGAACAACAGCTACACAAAGCAACAGGACAGCAAAAGACAAATCAAAAGAAAAGAATGTCTACATCCCAAAGGGCAGACGAACGGTCCAAACAGCTGGCGTTGCAGGGTGGGGGGGGGGGGGGGGGGAATGAAAAAAATGGTTTTGGGCTCTCCCAAGAAACCTTAGTGTTTATTTTTGAGAAAGAGAGAGACAGAGAGAGAAAGAGAGAGAAGGAGAGAGGGAGGGAGGGTCAGGCAGAGAGAGAGGGGGACACAGAATCTGTGGCAGGCTCCAGGCTCTGAGCTGTCAGCCAGAGCAAAACACGGGGCTCACAAGCCACAAGATTATGCCCTGAGCTGAAGTGGGACGCTTAGCTGACTGAGCCACCCAGTCACCCCTCCCCCAAAAAGCCTTAAAAAGAAGCTCCTAGCATTTACAGGAACCAACAGCAACAGAACATGAGAGTAAACACCCAGACAAGAAACAGCCACCCTCAGGTCAGCCACCGGAAACAGTGGGGAAGAGGGTGCTGTCCGTTCCATACGGAGGCTGTCAGCAGGCATCACTTATCCTGTGCACGGGCAAAGGGCGGGGAGCAAACAGAACAAATCTCATCTGGAAGAAAACTAAGAGTCCAAGGCAAGGAGAAAGAACAGAAGACAGGAATGCTCACCAGTTCTCATGTAGGGGAGAAAGCGGAAGGCCCACAGGGAGACAGGGCACCTGGGAAGCCATTCATGCTCTTACTGCCACTCAGCAGGCTTCCTGTGGGTCCTTATTTGCCATGAAGTGAAAAACTTGGAAAGGAAAAGCAGGGCGCTTGGGGAAAGGGCCTCTGGCTCCCCAGTCCGCCTGGCCCAAACGCCATCACCACTCTTGTGCAGTGACCCACTAGGCCCCACCCAAACACGAACTGTTCAACCCAGATAGACTCCTTCCGCCAGGCAGAAAACCGCGGGGTCCGGCCGTGTGTTCACGGCCCCACTGCATTTACTTTCATAATATTGGGGAAGGAAAGATTAGGAAACGAGGCGGATAATCTCCTGTCCTCACAACCTGCACACCAGACAACCTTCCTGGAACAGAAGGACACAAGAAACTACGTTAATTACTAGGGAGACCTTTTTTGAACCTACCAGAACTAACGTCCTACATTCTCTTCAAAACCAATGCAACACATAAAACCAACACAACACCCGGGGTGCCTGGGTGGCGCAGTCGGTTAAGCGTCTGACTTCAGCCAGGTCACGATCTCGCGGTCCGTGAGTTCGAGCCCCGCGTCGGGCTCTGGGCTGATGGCTCGGAGCCTGGAGCCTGTTTCCGATTCTGTGTCTCCCTCTCTCTCTGCCCCTCCCCCGTTCATGCTCTGTCTCTCTCTGTCCCACAAATAAATAAACGTTGAAAAAAAAACCAACACAACACCCAATTACATCTGTAAGAAAGAAGCTGCCTGGGCTTAATCCACTGCAAATAATCCTGTGCCCAAACCCCTCCTGCAGCCCATCCCCATTTACCTGGGATGACACCATCAAGTTCAGTCAAGCTGATTTCTAAACACCACACTTTTGGAGACTACAGAGCTCTTACTAATGGCACCAAGTTAGGGACTGGGGGAAGGGAGGCCACATGGGACATTATCAGGAAGACAAGGTATGGCACAAGCAGAATGGCATGCCCATGATTCTTTGTAAACAGCCACATTTCCAAATGGTGTGAACGACAGCATCACCGTCTGCTTTCCAAACCACTCCATCACGTAACCTACTCCATTGGAAAATCTTTCACTCTTCAACACCTGCCAACATTTGCTACTGAAACCCAACTATGTGATTTAAAAAATGAAGGCAGGGGAGCCTGGGTGGCTCAGTTGGTTAAGCATCTGACTTTTGATCTCAGCTCAGGCTGTGATCTCGTGGTTCGTGGGTTCAAGCCTGGAGTCAGGCTCTGCGGTGATGGCACAGAGCCTGCTTGGGATTCTGTCTCTCCTTCTCTCTATCCCTCCCCTGATCATGTTCCCTCTCTCTCTCAAAATAAATAAATAAACTTTAAAAAAAAATGAAGGCAGTGGTCAATAAAAGGCATTCACCACCGAATACTGACTCCAGAAAGCACTTTACAAACTCTATTGTCCATTCTACTTCAAACCTTCAAACCATATGGGACACACTGGACAATATGTAACATACTAAATCTAACTTGACTGGTTTTAGCGCCCCCCCCCCAATAGATTGTTCTTAGAAGGAATTAAAAGAATTAAAAATCATCTTTGGATAATTTAGTTCTAAAACAGAAAACCTTCCTTGATGATTCAGTCATTCTGCCACACAGACTATTCCTTCTACCCAAATTCTATTGCAAATTGTGTGGACATCAGATTTATGCCCTCGGTAGGAGGCATTAAAAAAAAAAAATGAAGTTCTTATAAATTGGGGCTGCTCACCAAAAGCAAATATGGTATCTATATTCCTCCTATGAGAAGACAGACTAGCAGGTCAGGCTTGTCCTAGGAGAGAGAATGTCAGGGAGCAGGCTTTCATCAGGGGGAATCTGGCACGGGAGAAACTTAGTTTTGAATTCAACAACACAAGCACGATGCATTAATTCTATCTGTGTCAACCACAATTCTGCTTTCACATTGCCCGATCTTGTGTTTCACATCTAATGAGGGGGGAAAAAAAAGTACTGCCTTGAAACTACAAACTGAAAGCTCGGGGCCCTTTAGCAAAACTTTCCCAAAGCCTGGACTCACAACCTGAGCTTCTGGCAAGTCAGTGGGACAGCAACGTAGCCAATAGCTTTTGCTGGAGAATAAACAAGAGAACTCCTGCCCAGCCTGTTCGGGACACTCTCAATTCACCCTCTTCTGTGTCCACAGGAAGGGACACTAGCTGAGCCTCTGCTGGCATGGGGGAGATGGCCCATGTTGAGAGGCAATGTCACCAAGGGCAGGAACCCCGGTGTGTGGCAAGAGGGGGCCAGCTCCCAAATAGACTGGTAATTAATTAGGCTGCTGGAGAAGTCGCTAAGCCTGAATTCGAGTTTCTCATCTTTGAGCTCCTCAAACGTTCTTATTCTTGGAACTACGCGTGACATACAGACAACGTGGATTAGCACTTGAACCGCAGCCCTATAATCTACCAGGCAAATCGGAGCATCTGCAGCCGGGGCGGGTCAAGAGGACCCACCGTGGGCTCTCACAACTCCCTAGAGAGCACAGGAGGGGCAGACAGCCACTAAGCGACGAAGGGCTTCATTCTGAAAAGGAAAGGATGCCTGCACTCTAAAAGGTCTTTATTTCATATTTTCATGATTTTTCAAAGTAAGATGGCTATCTTTGACTATTACACAAACATTAGGAAGGTCACTTGACAGAGAAAATCACTTTAAAAGCAACTTTATTGACACAACCTAAGTAAGCCTTTGAGGGCAAGGTAATTACAGAATAAACAGAAGCCACAGGCTTCTGGTGCCTCTCAGGGTCGGTGGCAGGAAGAACAGTGATCTGAGAACATGCTTGGCAGGGGGCTGGAGGCTGGGGCACTATGGGGACCGAGGAACCTGCAGCTCACAGGAGCAGCACTGGTCTGAATCCAGTTTCACTGTCCACATTTCACGCAGGAGGCAAACTCCACTTTATAATCTTCTTAGAAATTTCTTTTAATGTTTATTTATTTTTGAGAAAGAGAGGAGAGAGTGAGGAGACAGAAAGAGACACAGAGAGAGAGACAGAGAGGGACAGAATGAGTGGGGGAGGGGCAGAGAGTGAGGGAGAGGGTCCGAAGCAGGTTCTATGCTGTCAGCACAGAGCCCGACATGTGGCTTGAACTCACAAACCGTGGGATCATGGCCTGAGCCGAAGTTGAACGCTCAACCGATTAAGCCACCCAGGTACCCCCACACTATAAACTTTCAGGAGAAAGAGGGAGACGAGGACCACTACTCTGTTTCCGTCTCTTTCACAGACATCACAGGGCTACTCTGCTGGACTCCCCTCCACTTTTTTTATGCTATTTTTTTAGTGTGGTAAAATAAAATTGTTAAAAAAAAAACCCCAAATTTTTCATTTTTTAACGTTTATTTATTTTTGAAAGAGAGAGAGACACAGCCAGTGGGGGGAGCAGGGAGGGGAGGCAAAGGATCCCTAGCAGGCTCCACGTTGATAGCAGAGAGCCCGATGCGGGGGCTCGAACTCATGAACGACCTGAGCTGGAGTCAGACGCTTAACCGACTAAGCCACCCAGGCGCCCTCGTGAAGTTGGACCCCTTTCAAAGCTCACTCTGGTTTTCTGCCTCTTGAGTCACTCCTCCTTAGCCAGGCTCCAGAGGCAGCAGGGAGAAGTGGGATGGGCCAGAGGGGCTCTCCTCTACACCTCGCAGAGTGCCCTTCCCTGTCCCCACAGCCAAGGGAGCCCACCTGCCCTCTGCGGGAGTCTGTGTGGCTGAGGCAGCGGCATCATCACGCAAACGGCCCCCGACAGCATGAGCCCTCGGCCCCCTCCCCTTCCCTCCAGGGCGACCGGGCTTCCACAGGCCCTCCACTCAACCAAATGGACACCTTGCTTTGTTGTTTCCCCCTTGATGGCTCTGGGGTTCTGCAAACCACCCCGCTGGAGAGAAAGCAACAGAACCCGCCTGGGGAGCGCCAGCCTGGGGACGTTTTCAAAGGATGCAGGTACCTGGGCACAAAGATGGAGTTGTGCAGGAAGTTCTCGAAGACTTTGCGGTACTCAGCCTCCTCCTTCTCCGCCTGCTTCTCGGCCTCGGTTTTGGGGCAGGCACAGCAAGGCCCCTTCTCTCCGCTGCACACTTCGGTCTTGGGGTTCTCGGTCACCTCCTCGACGTCAATGGTGCCATCGGCATACTTCCTGATGGGGATTTTGTCTGCTCGGGAGAGAGAAGGCCAACAGGAGCAGAAATGAAAGCCAAGTCACAGACGTTGGTGGCTGTCAGCGCCTTTAATGGAGAAGGGAGCCGGCTTCACGGGGTCGCTCAGACGACGGGGGCTGGGCTGCGGGTCCCCCCACCCTCCGCCCTCACCTTTGGAGCAGTAGTTGTGGCGGTAAAGGTAGCTGTCCTGGGGCTGCCGCTGCCACCGCACGATGTAGTAACTCAGGTTGCCGTTGGGCAGGGACGGCGGGTTCCACTTCACGATGAGCTGAGAAGAGGAGTTTGATGCCGAAAGAACATCCAGGGGAATGGAAGGAACTGGAAAGAGGGAAAAAGGCCGTCAGGTACTCGCCGCAAACCAACCAGAAGCCGTGGGGGTGGCCCAGAGAAGGAGAGGGTGCGGACGCGTGACATGAAAACGGAACCCTGTTTTGAAATCGTATGAATTTAAACGCCATCGCTTCTCTGTATGGTCTCTATCCTCAGGTCACCTCTGTGGAAACAAACAGGACCGAGCTGCAAATGGAGACAGGGTTGTGGGGGCCACACCAGGGTTACAATGGGTGACTTCGAATCTAATTGGAGCACCGGGTCTTTCTCATGGGTTACAACTGCCATTCTCCAAAGTGTTGGACTCTGGCAGTTTTGGTAAGAGGTGAAACGGACTGACTTACGTTTCATCTGAGATTTTGGAGCTCTGATAAACATGGCAAGATGCCAAAATGAGAGAGGAAGTAGGAAAGGGCTGGAGTGTGTGTGAGAAGCGTGGAGATAGAGGGCCCGCACGTCTCTCAATTCTATAACCACATTCAGTGGAATGACTGACACAGGAGTAGGAGAAGCAGTCTGCAAACTCAAACACACACAGAGTCCTGACTGCAAACATTGGACTGTTATCAGCCAAAGAACATTGATTTATAGGCAAAGCATAATAATCTGGTAAAGCTTTATTTACTATTGTCTCCCAAACCCAAACCCAAACCGAAACCAAAACCCAAACCCAAACTCAGAGGTGTCTTGTGTATGAAGGGCAAACACATCCCAGGACCACTGAAATCTCACTTTCCTTGGGTTCACAAGAAAACACCGATTTTCATGGGTTTTCCCAAGTGCAAAAGAACTCTCCACTGTATGTCACTTAAACAACATGGTCACCCAAGCCGCTTTAAAATTTCAAAGGGGCAAAGACCTTACGGCTACTTCAAAGCCCGTAACATGATACACAAGGTTCTGAACACCTGTCTGGAATGATGCTTTGGGGAAAAGTTGTGACTAGTGCCAGCTTTTTCAGGAGAAACATAACCACTGAATGCTCAGCCATTTTCAGGTTTCCAAAATCAAGTATTTCAAGAAAAAAACAGCTTACTCCAGATGTTTCAATGATAACTGTCACAAAAAAGCAGAGGCAAAGGACCAGGTTTCCCCTCTGTCCCTACCATTTGTAAGGACAGGGGCCAAAATGTAGGGAAGTGGCTCAATTTGTAAGGTGCTTAGTTTTCCATCTATGGGGAAAGGGAATAGGTTTCTTAAGTATTTGTCATAATGAGGAAAGATTCTTATTTTCCCCGAGCTGTCCACGATAAATGACTTCCAAACCTTAAGAAGAATAACTTGTTTTGTTGCCTTTGAATCTCTGCCACACTGCCCCACACCCAGGATCAGAAGCCTGTGCCAGATTTATTTCTCTAAACACTTCAGGGTCTGTGACATGATTGCGACCCCTTACGGGATCCTAAAGATGGAGCAGGGGAAGGGAGGAGAAAGCAGGCAATGCATGAGCCAAAGGGGGTCTTCCCCATCAATGCTTTCCCTCACCCTCTCTGCCATTTCAGCATATTTTGTGCTACCTTATGGGTGCTTTAAAAAACAGCTCCCATCCAAGAATATGTATCCTTGTCTTTAGAAATGATGTGCATTTTCCTACTTCAAAGCCGGTTTTTATATGCTTGGCTAACATGCACAAATGTTTCCTTTCATTACTTCCAGATCCTGGAGTTGAGAAATGAGGTGGTTAAGGAAATGAAGACAAAGAAAGGAGGAACATTTTCACCAGTGAATACTTGGAATGTTCACAACATACTCTGTCTGACGTTTTCCAAATTTTGTCTACCTCCTTGGAACCCTTGTCCCTACAGAATGAAGACAAAAAACCAACAAGCCATGTGAAAGTCCGGAACACCAAATCATCATGGAGGTTCAACGATGAAAATAAACAAGAGGGGGTGCCTGGGTGGTTCAGTCAGTTGAGCGTCTGAGTCCTGACTTCAGCTCGGGTCACGATCTTGTGGTTTGTGAGATCGAGTCCGGCATTGGGCTCTGCACTGACAGCGTGGAGCCTGCTTGGGATTCTCTCTCTCTCTCTCTCTCTCTCTCTCTCTCTCTCGCTCTCACTCTCACTCTCTCTGTTTCTCTGCTCTTCCCCTGCTCTCTCTCTCTCTCTCAAAATAAACTTAAAAAAAAAAAAGGGAAAATAAACAAGAAGGGTAAGCTATAGGGGGTTGGATCCTGGCTGGGTCGTCCAAAAAACCCAAGCCAGCACCCTGGAGTACCTGGGCTCACCGGCATAGGGCAGGTGAGTGATGGAAGGCACTACTGAATCCGAAAAATGGACCAGAGGAGCCTAGGGTTTTGGGACCGGGAAAAGAAAGGATACAGCATTATCTATTGATAAGAAAGGCACATAAAAGACAGACTGGTCCAAGGTAGACAAAAACTATAGGCACGTTCGTTGCTGGTCTGCTGACCGGTTCCTGTGATAAACAAGCACAGTGAGCTCATGAAAAATGTGGGATGGATGGTGCATGGATACCTGAAGCATTGGTGCGAATGTACAAGATTTCACTCTTGGCCCCGCGGATGTGGTCATTCTCCACCATGGTGAGGGTCACTGCCTTGACGTAAACGGCATACTGCGTCCAAGGCTTTAGTCCGTGCAGTAAAATGCCAGGCTCGACGTCCTTGTTGGGAGGGAGGTCCACGTCTACCATGTTCCAGCTGTTGGAGCCACAGGCATCCTGGCCATCATACTCCGTGACGTTTTTAAAAGGTCTGAAAGACAACGGGAGAAGCTCAGAGAAAGGTTTCGGTCCCTGCCATCGAGGCGCTCAGAAGCCTTGCCCAGGGGTCGAGTATGTCACCCTTTCTGTAACAGGAATTCTAAATAAAATAATCAATCAATCAATCGGATTTTTATAGAAGAAGAAAATGAAGCAACTGGTCCCAGGTTTCACCGTGGTTACAAACGCCCTATAGAACTGCAGTCTCTGCCTCAGGAAGGGTAAGTTCTTTTTTTTTTTTTTTTCCAACATTTATTTATTTTTGGGACAGAGAGAGACAGAGCATGAATGGGGGAGGGGCAGAGAGAGAGGGAGACACAGAATCCGAAACAGGCTCCAGGCTCTGAGCTGTCAGCCCAGAGCCCGACGCGGGGCTCGAACTCACGGACCGCGAGATCGTGACCTGGCTGAAGTCGGACGCCTAACCGACTGCGCCACCCAGGTGCCCCATGGAAGGGTAAGTTCTAATTGTTACTGGGATTGCAGACACTGCTCCTTAAGAATATATGCAAATGTTGGGGCGCCTGGGGGGCTCACTCGGTTAAGTGTCCAACTTCGGCTCAGGCCAGGATCTCACGGTTTGTGGGTTCAAGCCCCGTGTCGGACTCTGCCAACAGCTCAGAGCCTGGAGCCTGCTTTGGATTCTGTGTCTCCCTTTCTCTTTCTGCCCTTCCCCCACTCATGCTGTGTCTCTCAAAAATAAATAAACATTGAAAAAAAAAAAAAAGAATACGGGGCACCTGGGTGGTTCAGTTGGTTAAGCATCCAACTTCGGCTCAGGTCATAATCTGATGTCCATGAGTTCGAGCCCCGAATCAGGCTCTGTGCTGATAGCTCAGAGCCTGGAGCTTGTTTCAGATTTGGTGCCTCCCTCTTTCCTTACCCCTCCCCTGCTCACACCCTTCTCTCTCTGTCTCTCAAAAATAAAAATGTTAGGGGCACCTGGGTGGTTCAGTCGGTTAAGCGTCCGACTTCGGCTCAGGTCATGATCTCACAGTTCATGAGTTCAAGCCCCGCGTCCGGCTCTGTGCTGACAGCTCAGAGCCTGGAGCCTGCTTCAGCTTCTGTGCCTCCCTCTCTGTCTGCCCCTCCCCTGCTCATGCTCTTTCTCTGTCTCAAAAATAAATAAACATTAAAAAAAAATTAAAAAAAAATAAAAATGTTAAAAAATTAAAAAAAAGAATATATGCAAATGCTATTTTTCTCTCTTCCAATTGTGGCATTTTTCACCATTAAAAAAAAAAAACAAGTGTAATCATTTAATGCAAACATCAGCTACTGATGAAAAATAACTTTTGGAGAAAAAGGACTTTTGCTACAGAAAAACCGCATCTAAAATAGAGCTTCGGAAATCAAATTTGTTCACAAACAGTTGGGACGGCTTAAGTACCTTACTCACATACCCCTCCGTGTGGTCACAATGGAAGGCCATGAATGACTCCCATGTGTAAATATGCTGAATGCGTAATAATCCCGAGACCTGCTATCTCTACTGCTATGACCCTCCCCAGGACTCTGGCTCCGGCAGGGGAAAGGGGGCCAGATACTGCCATTGGTGGCTCTGGTTCCAGCCCCAGGGAAGCCAATCACTAGGGAAAGAGACCTACGGCATCACAGTGGGAGCCGGGTAAGGAGGGTGACTAAGCAGGCTGGGGAAGCACTTGGACAAGAGGCAAAGGAATGAAGAGGGAGACCCAACAAGAGCTTCCGTCTGGAGGAGGACGTCGTGGCTGCTGTGGCAGGTGTCACCTGAAGGTACAAAGCCCCCACAGATGCTGGGAGAAATCATGAGAGGTTCAAAACATGGAGGTCAGTCTCTCTCCCTTTTCCATCCCTAGTTTGGAGGGCTCATGACCTAGAGCAGAGGACGGTGCCTTGGGAAGGGCCCGTGGGTAGAGGGACAGGAATAAGAGGACAGATCGGTCTGGGGGTCCCCTCCAGGGAAGCTGAGCATCCTGCACGGTGCAGGTGCTCCTGGGGTATGGCGTGGCGGGCACATCCTCTACCCCAGTTAATGGATGTCTGGACTAGCCTAATCCTCTAAAAAACAAACTTTGTTCTTTGGAGTTATTTTATTCCAACCCCTCTAACTACCCACCGGAGAACGAAAGGCCCCAAGCCGACACTGTCGTGTTGTGGCTGTCACCACGGTGATGGATGTCACGTGACAGCCAGGGAGGGTGGGGAGGGTGGAGCACGGGCTTCCCCACCCACAGCCCTGCCCACGCAGAAACTCACGCCTCCTTGTAGTAGACGGTGAAGCTGATGAGGTCCCTGTAGTCAGGGGGCCGGTACCGGTGCCAGGTTATGATGATGCGGTTCTTCCACGTGGTCGTAGAGGTGAAGTGCAGGACGTCACTTTCACCTGGGGCGAAAGGTAGATCTGTGAGCGACAGGGACGGACGTCCTTTCCCTCCAAGTGTCTGACAAGCCACCTGCCCTGCACTGTTTCCCTCTTCTCCAAGGCTGGCTGTGCATGCTAATAAGCCCCTTTCTGGACTTCTCAGTGGCTCTCTTATTTCTACTAAGCACCCAGACGTGTTCCCACACGGAGCTGTGACCAGCTCGGTCCTTTGTTTTAGCACACTTGGCTGCGTTGGCCCTGCCCTGTGAGTCCGAGCCTGACAGGGAAGGGCTGCTTGACACAGCCAGGCACCTGCCCTTTCTGTTGAGCCCTAAGACGTGGCTGCCAAGGGGGCCGGGGAAGGTGAGCCCTGTAAGCTGGCTGAATCTTCTGCGATAGGAGGGCACCTGCTCTGTAGTGTTAGGGGTCTCCGCCTGCTCCTGCTCAATCAGCAGAGACGGGCTAACAGACCAGGTGTGCCACAGTGGGGCACTTTCAGTCTAAACGTCGTATCGGCCTGGAAGGACACGGAAGCTTCCCGGAGGCTCCAGCTGGGGCTGACATACCACCGGGAATGAAGTAAGCACTGACAAGAACAGTGTCACCTGGCAAAGCCCCCTGTGCTCCGTGGGACGCTGCTGGGGAGGTATGGCAGGGACCCAGCTCTGAGCCCCTGTCTTGTTCCTCTGGCCAGATTCAAAGGACCACGAGGACCAGGGAAGAGCTGCTGACCGCCTCTCCTCAGGGAGACTCGGAGCCCTACAGACTGTCCTTTTCTGCTTCTATTTGCCTGAATCCTGACGTACTCAGTAGGTGAAGCGCAGGCTGAAGGCAGTTAATACTAAAAAGTCGGGGGGCAAAATGTGCTGATGTGAGATTAGAAAAACACTGCAGTTTCCGCTTGAGGGTTATTTAAAGAGAAAACATGATTTTGTTTTCAATGGGAAAGAAACGGCTACTGTAGTCACAATCTGATAGGGCAGACCGGCTGAGTTGGAGGAGAACACACTTTGAAAATGCTCAGACACAGCCGCCCTGCCATGGTTCGAACAGGGAGTCCGGCAGGGGCTGTGTGGGCATGTCAAGGACAAGGCGCTGGTTGCAAACACGCCATCCAGCCTTGCATCAGGCTTCTTCCCTCCAAAAACCCTTCCTGGGCAGTTTGAGTATCTACCGGGTAAATCCAGATGCCAGCAAAACTCATCAAATGCTAATAGTTTCTCGAACCTGCGTGTGCTGTGTGTGCACGTGCGTGTGCACATCTTTGATCCTATAAATCACTCTCTTTTTTTTTTTCTAAGACCCTTCCCTTATTAAAGGCCGAGGACAGAGAGACAATTTACTTTTAGAACTCTATCCACCTGAACAGAACCACATTTTCAAAAGCCGCTTTACATACAGGGTTAGCTGAGAGATGTGTACTGCTACAGCTCAGATACAGGACCTTAAAGGTAAAAGTCATGTAACCATTGCAAGGTTGTAATTACACTCTTCTAAATTTAAGAAAGCAGTGTCAATTCAGGGAGTCTACAGACTCTCTCCACCTTTCTCGTGTTGGGGTGTGAGTGAGGAGGAGGCCAAGTGAGAGACAGAGACCCCAGGGCCATGCGCTGGGCTTGGGGCTTAGCCCCCTCTGCCCTCAGGCTTCTCCTATGCTGTGGGCAGTGGAGCTGAGCTCACTCCCTGGAGTTAACTAGCTCCTCTGTGACAAATAATCCGACCATATGCCTATGCATTAAAAGACATTTAAATTGGGACACCTGGGTGGCTTGGTTGAGCATCCAACTCTTGATTTCGGGTCAGGTCATGATAGCAGGGTCGTGGGATGGAAAGCCCCACGTTGGGCTGTGCACTGAACGTGAAGCCTGCTTAGGATTCTCCCTCTCTCTCTCTCTCTCTCTCTAATATATATAATATATATATAATATACACATAATATACATACATTATATATACATAAAATACATGGACATTTAACTCTGCATTCTATAAGCACTTCTGGAAAATCTGTGTAGGAACCTATTTATAAATGTGTAGTGCATTCATCTAGATGCTAAGGGAGAAGCACGAACATGAACGTGTCATGCATCTGCCCTGCTACCGACTCTGAACATACACACGTGTGAGCAAAGTGCTAGTTAAGGAGGCCTCGTGTCCCCCCACCCCCAAGTGAAGCGAGGAGGGGACCACAAACGGAGCCGCTGTTCTAGACCGGAGGAGGAGGGGCCACTCACAGGAGGCTCGCTCTCCATTGTTCCTCGTATTGATGTCCCCTTTGCTCTGGCGCCCCTTAGTCCCGGTCACCTCCTCCATGCGGTAAATTTCGGAGACGCACAACTTGGGGTTGAAAGCAAAGTACATCTTCCCAGCTTTGATGGTCAGATTGCGGTGGCCCCAGTCCCAGAGCTGCTGCAGGTTCTGGTTGTCGAGGACATAGAAAGAGTAGTTCCTGGAAGCACAGAAACCACCGTGAGCTCTCCGGCCCTTGCCCAGTGTCCCCTCCCACCCATTGGCCGCACCACACGGGCCCTCCTCCACACGTGGCTCCGGAACACGCTGCCTTTGCCAGTGAGAGATTTAGTCATTAATAGTGGGGAAGCGTGGACAGTTCCTGTTCACAACAGCAACCATCTGATTGCAGGACAGCGTACTGGAATTGGGAAGACACGAATTAATTTTAGGACCTCTATTACCAACAAAATGATGCCTCGCGTACCAGAGGGTGTTGCTGGAATCATTCCACAGAAATGCCTTTGGGTATTTCTCTCAGAGCAGAGTATGTATAATGCACTTGAAGTCAGTCCACGGGAGAACAGACACGCTCGGCTACTCAACCAGAACAGCTTACATATTTGCTGTAGAAAGTCTGCCATCATCCTTGGGGGTAAATCCCACCCGTGCCATCAGCGGTGTCTGATGGGGCAGGAGGCAGAATGGGGACAGGGAGCCAGACTCAGTGGTGGACCAGCCCTGGGCCTGCTCCCTCCTCCAGATTCACCCCATCTTGAAAAGCCTCACCACCCACCTTGGAGAAGGTGGGGAAAGAGAAACCACCCCCGCTAAGGGCAGTCCCTCTGGGCCACATCATCCAGGCAACAGTGACTCAGTATCCAACACAAAGCTAGTGTGCACAAGGCTTGTTTTCCAAGTGCTGGGCTCCATTCCCAGAGTTTCTCATTAGTAGGTCTATGTGGGCCAAGAATCTGCATTGCTAACCTGCACCCTGCACCTCAGTGGTGCTGATACCTTCAGGTGCCGGGATCGCACCGGAAGAAGCACTGGTCTAACAGGTGCTGGGCACTGACAAGGGGCTGGAGGTCCAGAGCTGACCAAGTGAGTTTTGGGCGGACACAGAAGCAGCGGCTCCACCTGTTGATTGAAGGGAAGATGGGAGGACGGTGGAATCAGCAACAGCTCTGGCTACCCAGAGAGAAATCCATGCTCCAGGAGGTGGGAGAGCAGACAGCTACAGCTTAGGGGTCTGGAGAAAGATCCACGCGATGACGCCCCTTTCTCCGGGTCCCTGGGGAAACCAGGCAGGCAGGACCTTGCTGCCCATCCAAGTCCTCTGGGCTGAAAGGTCAGCTCCACACGGACCTCGAACCTGTCTTCTCCCCCTCCTGGTCCCCAGCCTCAGGCTCTATGCGAGGCTCACTCGAGCACTTTATACAAAACGGAACTGGTACAGCATTTTGAGCTATTTCTAAGATCCACTTAAGGATCCAGGACACAAACTGCTGGGAAGAAAGGATCCAGTCCCCTTTCCAGGGCCAAGAGAGCCAGACAGAAGTGTAAAGGCCTCTTCTGCCCTAGAGGCTGTGTCCATGGGCCCCTCTCTGCACCTGGTGAGGTTCTTCATGTACACTCAGACCAGGACTTCCACCCGCCTCGTCAATCCCCAGCCTGAGTCTCATTCATTAAGAAAGCAAAACTTATGGTTAAAATGCTGCCAAGCAGAATTGTGATGCATTCATGGGAATTCACAAGGGAGTTCGGAGACAGGGGTTCAGGACTACAAATGCCATGAATGAGCCACGTAGCCATGGGCAGTTCACTTAGAACTTTCTGTAGCCACCAGTCTGGTTCACTCATAGGACTAGGAGGGTATGAACACACAGTCAGGACAACAAGGGGTATGAACATCTGAGCTCCCTGTTGGTTTTAGGAGTCCAAGACCCTAAGGCCCGGGAGAAGTCACAACGCTGAGCTGGAATCTGCCCCACCAGCCTGAGCCCAGCCCCCGGACAAGCACTGGGCGCTGTCCGTCCACACATGTGCAGGGGTGGTGGTGGTGGGAGTCCTGCCCACACAGGGTCCAGTGGGCCAACACTCTCTAACACGTATATCCACTGAAAAAGGAACATGAGATGTTGTCCAAATGAATCGAGACTCGGGATACGCAACGCAAGGCCATGTGTACAGGTGGGGAGTGCTGGGACGTGGCAAGGTGAGATGGGCCATCCCTTGGGCCGGTGGCCACCCTCCCCCGACCCCGCACTGCCAGGCTGCAGAAAGCAGGGTGATGCATGCATACAACTGACGGAGGGGTTTGCAGGTGGAAACAGATGCCTCCTATTCTCCCATTCTTGCCCACGGTTACTTCCTGCTCTGAAGGACACTCTGCAGTGCCGACACCAAACCCCAAAGGGTCTGGCTGCTCCCAGGTTCCTGTCTTGGTCCCAGGGGACAAGATCTGGTTGGTGCAGAAACCTCTAGGCCGGGAGTGCAGGCCAATTAACCAGGTCAAGCTCCTGTCTCAACTCGGGGTGAGGCTTCCTTTTAGTAAACGGATTTCACTGGCAGGGAACAGAACCACACGGAAAATACCTTCTGAACAAAACATGCCTCTCCCCATGGAGGAAGCATGAATTATAAATCAGGAACTTGACAAATGAGTGGCAGGCACACTGAAATTCTGTGTATGTGATTAATCACTTTGAAAAGCAAGATTATCTTTTTACAGTAAACACAAACATTTTTACAACACTGAGAAGGCCTGGGGCCAGGATACCAATATCAATAAAACCCAGGCGTTATGGAGCCTGTGTGAGCGACAGAAGAAGCAAAAATAAAACCCTCGTCAAAATAATAACCAAGCCATCAGGAGCTGCCTGTCAATAGTGTTTTGTTTCTCCAACCCCAGGTTGGGGCCTGGCTCCGCCCCAAACTTCCCTCCCATGATTAGGTGACAATTGAGAGACGGTACAAGGCAGAGAGACTTGCCTGCACATTTATACACACAGGCACACACACACTCACAGATTTTCATTGTTTCCTAAAGGAAATGGCTATATACGTCAATTAATCAATGTGATTTCCTAATTGTTTCTAAGCTTACTGCCTTTACATTCATAGAATATATAAAAAAAAATTAAGTTGTTTATTTTTCTGTAGCTCACACAGATGCCGGGTTTTATAGGTATTGATATCCTGACTCCCAGCCCTCCTTGTGTGGCAAAAGACGTTTGTTTCTGTACTTGGGTGGGCCCCATCAGACAAAATGTAGACCAATTCAGGTGGGTTGCAAGCAATCCATCATTTCCTTGAGGATACCTGTATATTATCTGTATTGATTTATATTCTTTTGTAATGTTTATTTTTGAGAGAGAGAGAGACAGAGAGAGAGAGAGAGAGAACGAGCAGGGGAGGGGCAGAGAGAGAGGGAGGCACGGAATCTGAAGCAGGCTCCAGGCTCCAACCTGTCAGCACAGAGCCCAACGTGGGGCTCAAACCCACGGACTGTGAGATCATGACCTAAGCCGAAGTCGGACACTCAACCAACTGAGCCACCCAGGCGCCCCTAACTGTATTGATATATTCTAAATACCTAGTATATACTAGACACTCAGGTGTTTTATTCATGGCTCCAGTCTTGGGGCTGTCTTCCTTGAGTAACCAATAACGACCACCTCCCCACCTGCTCTGATGAAGGGCAGGAAGGATGTGGAAGCAAAGGAAAGCGAAAGGGCTGGGAATCTGCCTGGTGCACAGAAGACAGCTCCAGGGCCAGTGTTTAGAGCACTGCATTGGAGAATCCAAACATCAGGGTCTGAGCATCATCTCCACCGCTCACTAAGCAACAACTCTAGGCAGTGTCTTATTTGGCTTCTCCCAGGCTGGGAAAAAGGGGATTGAGGGCTAGGAGTTCAAACTACGGGGGTGGAAGGGATATTCCTGCCTTTCAGCCCTTACTGACAAATTGAAAAAAAAAAAATCTGCAAATACACAGCTGATCATTCCCTTTCATTTCTCGGAGAAACCATAGAATCTTTCCGGCTGTCTCTAGGGGGCATCAGAATCCAGCACACAAGGACTGTCTCCAGCATCCTAGCAATCTGCAACAGATACAGGATTTGGCCTTTTCACAGATGCGGCTTTATACCACATCCAATCTCCCCCAAATCCGATATTTGCACCAACCTTGGGGGCTCAGCAAGGGCGGGCGTTTATATTCAAGTGCCACTAGGCACCAGACAGAAACTCAGAACATGTTTCCCCTTTGATTGTTTTCTAAATAGCTTTACTGAGATAGAATTTACCTACCAAAAATTGTACCCATCATAAGTGTACAGAGCCGTGAGCTTCATAAATTTATGCAGCTGTCCAACCACCACCACAATGCAGTTTCGGAATATTTCCACGATGTCAAAGTTCCCTCCCTGCCAACGCTGGTCAGTCTCTGCCCCTACCCCCAGCCTTCACCAATCTGCTTGCCGTCTCCACAGTTTTGCTTTTTGTAGAAACTAATGGAATCACGTAATGTGCAGCCTTTTGTGTCTGGCTTTTTTCCCACTTAGCTCAGTGTTTCTGAGGGTTACCCATGTTGTTATATTATTGTTGAATAGTATTCCATTGTGCCACAGTCAGTTTATCCACTCATCTCTTGATGGACATGTGGACTGTTTCCAGTGTTTTTTTGTTTTTGTTTTTTTGAGGTGGGGGGTGGGCTATCATGAATAATCCTGTTAGGAACATTCACATTCAGGTCTTGTGTGGGCACGTTTTCATTTCTCTTGGGAAGATACTGGGTAGAGCCTGGAATTGCTGAGTCACATGGTTGAGTCTTTATTTTTAAAAGTCCCCACAGCCCTGTTGCAGCCTAATCTGAGAGTTGCAGGAAGGCAGGATGAAGCGCCAAGTTTTGCAAAGTCAAGTGGTAGGATAGTGAGCACAGAGATGCCTGAAGGCACCCAAGGTTTTCAATTCTTATATCCCCTGCTACCTGCATCTGCTTTTATGCTTTTTGGAGCAACAATCCTTGGGCACCAAAGAATCTGAAATTCTAACTCTTCATTTGTCTGATGCCATAAAAAAATAAGGGTGTCCAAATGAAGGAACTGTCAAGATAGCAGAAATATTCTGTTTTCTATTCCAGGGCTTAACAATTAGTCATTTTATATAAATCTTATACGTGTGTATTACAAGACCCATTTCCTTCTTAAGTAGCAG